TATTAATAAATCAAATAATAATATTTTATATGTATTAATGTAATGTTATCTTATATTTAATTTTTTATAATTTTATATTTAAATTGAGTATCTTCACTTATAGTTAATTAGTTTTAGGTTGGATACTTAACATGATATTAAAATCAAAATTTTTTTTATTGTCTTTTTCAAATATATTATGTAATAAGTTTCTTTTACCTCTATCTACAAGTGACATAGATTTATTAAAATGATATTATCTCACATTTAATTTTTATAATTTTATATTTAAATTGAACCCATCCACTTTTAATCAATTAATTTTAAATTAGTTACTTAATAATATATATTTTATTTTTAAAATTTTAAAAGATACTATTATATAATTTATTAATAATTTATAATATTTATATATTAATAATACATCAAATATAATCCCTTTAATTCCAGTTTTCACTTAAAAATTTTTATCTCAATCCTCCGCTAAATGCAAATTTGATCCATGGATCTAATTAACAAACAGATAACAGACAAATTTACTCGTTTTCTTTTAATTAATTAATTTATTTATTTTTATAAGTTTAGATTTTAATAAAATTCACTGCCCAAATTTCAATAAACTGGTGCCTTTGTTAGATCTAAATAGCAAAACTCTCAAAATTGCTTCAAAGATTACAATTTATGATCATAAAAAATAATGGACTGAAAAAAAAAAAGAAGCAAAATCATAAATTAAGTAATTTGTTTGCTTTCAGAAGTAACCTTTTCCCCTTTTCCACGTGAAATTATTATAGCACAAAGTTGTCTGGTTATTGCGTGCCTTGTCATCAAATTTTCTTCATTTTATTTACTCTTATTAATTATGCAAATTCCAGTGTTTGTCGATCATCAATTTTCAAAAGCATTGATCACATGACATGGACTCGATCAACATTGTAAAGTTACATTTCTGTACAGTAATATTTATTAATATATATGAATTAGTTTTTATATATTATTAATGTAATTTTTTAATTTCATAAATTAAATTAAATAATTGTCAAATATTTTATTTTTTTAATATATTCTAAAAAAATATATAAAATATTTTATATATACTCTATTTCTTTGTTCTAACATTATTAACCATGTATTTCTTTCTTCACAGTCTAGACAAGTTTTGTAACGTAAAATTCAGTGATATAATACCTACAAGGAGCTTACATGTCAATCTTATCGAGATCAAATTTTTTATTGTTAATGTCAAATTAATTTCCTTTTTTTTTTTTTTTCACGTTTCTTCATATTTTCTTCCATGGGTCTGACTTTTCATCTGCTTTGGTTGGTTGGTCAGTGTAATATTGTTGCTGGTGAGGCAGGTGGTGACCGGTGAAGCTGGAACTCTTCTGATATTTGTACAGATATTTTTGACCCACCACTTCTAATTTTGTTGTGTTTGGTGCAATGTAAGGAAGACCTGGTCTCTTTCTATTGCGAAGAAAAATTGCGGACTTTTGATCTGACCGACTAGTGCAACCATTTCCTCAGGTGCCCCACGTGTTAGAAAATTTAAGAAATCATAATTAATAAAAAAGAAAAAATATTATTTTAAAAGTAATTATATTTATAGAATATAATAAAATTTAAAAAAAATTTAAATTAAAAATAGTAAAATTAATTCGACAAAAATATCTATTTATAATAATAAATAATTACCAATCAAATCAATTTAAAAAGTTATAATATTCAATATAATCGTATTTTTATATTTAAATAAATTTTATTTAAACATTCATATTTTCTTATTCAGATATGTTTATTTGGATCATTATTTTTTGTTCAAATATATTTATTTAGAATAAAAATAAATTTTGGTAATATTCTAAAATAAAAAAACTCAAAATGGCTTTTTTTTATTTTTAAAATTATTTGATCTATTAGAAGAACTCTTAATAAGCCTAAATAATTCGGTCAACTCCAACACTTAGATCAATTATTTTAATAACATAAATAATCTATTTTAAATTATATATAAATGATATTTTTACTCATATATATCACATTTTAAACTATCAACACAACAAATCATAAGCCCTATTTCCTCCTCCATTCACACATTTTCAAAGCTATTTTTTCTACTATATCTATATATATATATATATATATACACACACACACACATATATCTATATCTATATCTATATCTATATACGTATAAATATATTTCCTCATTATATAAATAATATTTTTATTATTTTTTTTTAAATTGAAGTAGTAGTTTGTAAACTATCTCAAATTTTTAAATTTTGTCACTCAAATTCACTTATATTGAACAGAATAACAAAGAGGTGTAGCCAATTAATGTTAAAACATTTCATCTTTAACTGATTCTTTAATTGTTTGCTTTTCGTAGGACCAGGAAGACTTTGAAATATATTGCATGTCCTTGTTCAACGTTCAATATTGGAGCCTTGCAGGGGTGCAAGAGGAAGTCAAGTACTCGTTTGATCAAGTAAACAACGTCGACCTTCCACATGCCATGCAAATTATATATATGAATATTTGATTTTTTTTGTCAAAATATATTATAGGTTTCTGTACTTTTTAATTTTTAAAACTTTAATCCTTTTAACATTTGTTAAAATAATTTAATCATTGTAATAGTATTTTTTAAATATTTTAATTCAATTATTAATAATGTATAAAAATTAAATTTTTAAAAAATAATATTACAATAACTAAATTTATTTAAATAATACTATAGAGGTTAAATTTTTAAAAATTAAAAAATATATAAACTTATGACACATTTTAACTTTTTTTTTTTTCAATAAAAAAACCCTCTTTGTATTCCCACTTTCTTTGAAGTTTTCTTCCTTTTTTAATGCTAAGAACAGTGTTCAACTGCCTAACTTATTATAATCATCCATTTGTCTTTGGACAATTTTTAGCTAATAATAACAACATAAATTAAAATCTTGATTGAACGAGACCGCTACCAGATCAAATATTATTTTATTTTTTTAAATATGGTGTATGTATTTTTCTTTAAAATATGAACAGTAGCTACTAGTTTCCATGTATTTATTGTTCATTCGTTGACCTCAATTATATTATTGGGAAGTTCAAAGCATGTATCTATGTGTGAAAAATCTTGACGACCTGAAGATTCAATACTGTAAATAAAAGAAGCTTTGAAATCGTGCTTTCATGGCAACCTCACCGCACTGGCTCAGAGGTTAATTGTCTACAAATTCAAAAAATGCACGCATTTATGTCTCCTAACCAATGCCCTTCCGATGCGAGACTAAAGTCAGTCTTCTAAAGAAGCAAATAAGAGACTTTTCCGCAATACAAAATAGACCTAATTAGCAATATTTAATTTGGAAAAAAAAATTTACCCTTTTAAAAATAAAAAAAGTAACCGGCCATCTAAGAAAATATTTTCCATTTTTAGATAAATTAAATGAGTTAAACGTGTAAAATATATATTTTTTTAAATTATGAAAAACACGATGAGCCTCAAATAGAACAGTAGACAGGGAGAAAGGGACAAATTAAAGATTGATGGCAGTTTTACAAATAGAGTAAAACTGAAATATGAAGCTCATGCAACAGTAAAACATAGTAGTATTTTACTACGTCAATCTGGACAAAGCAGATTCCTGTCTTGTCATGAGAGACACGAATGAAAGGTGTGTTTTTATGGAGCTGAGATAGGTGCCAACCATTCCACATAATTGTTAGGTATGGTCTTGCCACTGCCCACTACTTGTTAGGTAATCGGGCATGCATTTACTTATCCCACTTGTTTTGTATGCTAATCCCTAAAACGTATCAGTATTTAAAATTTGAAGATTAAATGTGAAAGTAGTGTGATGCCAAGAAAAACCTAGCTTAGTTTGTTGTATGCAATGAAGTTAAAAGAAAACATCTGCCTCTGCTAATTTTAAAAAACAATAGGCAAACTCAAAGTTCAATCTTCTAAACTTATATTAGGCCTAATACTTTTGTATAAAGTTCAAAACGTAAGGGGAGAGTGATACAGACAAGTTTTAAGGAATGTCACGTGTTCTTATCAAACCTTACACGTGAGTGAAAAAAATAGATATGCATCACAGCTAATTCGAATTATACAATTATGTCTCCGAATATAAAAGTTGCAAATTAAAAAGATAAAAGGTAGATTAATTTTATTATCACTCAGAGCTTTCTTCTTTGTTTTCACCACCTTACTCCTTACACAATTATAAAATTGTTTATCAGAACGTTATCTCTAAATTTTAATTCCGATGCTTTTTAATTTTTTTTTTTTTATAAAATAGATAAGCATCCTTCTCCAAAATTACTAAGAACTTTATCATACTTATGAATTAGTAAAAGTCGATTTAAATTGACTAAATCGATTGAAATTGAGTGAATTCGATTAATTCGATTTGATTTATTTGATTTTAATTGTAATTAATTTTTTAAATCAGTTAAATTTTATAATTTGATAGATTTTTTATTTTTTAAATTAATAATCGAACCGATCAAATTAATTAACTTTCTAATAAATAAAGGTAAAAAAATTGAAATGAGTAATTGTATTTGATTTTTTCTTGTAAAATATTATTGAAATTATGAAATTCTTTAATGATTTAATTTGAATGATACTTGAATTTGAGTTTTATTAAATTAAATTTATAATTAAATAATTATTCATGATAAAAAAATAATAAAATATTTGATTATTTAATTAAACCAATCGAATCGAACTAATTTTAGTTAATTTAGTTACAATCAATTATTTAAATATTTTCAATCGATTTAATTATTTATTAAATAAAAATTAATTAATTTAATTATTAATTTTTTCAAATCAAGCTGATCAAATCGATCAATTGCTCACCCCTAATTCTACTGACAAAAGCACTTCAAAAAACTAAAAGATTGATCACATTATCATCTATACAAACAATTTTGCTGATTAACTGTTTCACAATTAGATTAAATTACTCTCCTATTTTAGGAATAAGATGCTTCCAGGACTTTCTAGTTTTTCCTCGTACACTAATAAAAAAACACATGATTGGATTGGACAACAATACAATAATAAAAATACTCATGAAAAGGCCCGTATTAAAGGCAGAAGCACTATCCTTACTTTTCACATGGACTGTGCCCAATGGCCAGTGCCCATGTCAATGTCACAGACATGAACCCACTTCTAGTTTTTCCTAGAACTGTCCAATAAAGGTTAATAGCGGCCCAAGACTCAAACACATTGAACTCAACTGACGGATATATTCACAAAAATTGTTGTGACAGACGAGAATTTTCGGAATTCTATATTTGATTCGATTTAACGCTGCAAACCAATGCTCCTCTTCCTGTTCTAGTGTTTAATTTTGTCTGTTACGCTCCAAAGTCTTGAGCCTTTCTAAAGCCAAAAGGAGAAGAAAATAAAGAAAAAAGAAACGGGATTAATAAAAAAATTGAATCCAAAACTTCAAAAGGCGCTAAAACTGGCATTCTCTTTCTGTACAACACACAGCCTCTGAAAAGTGAAACTTCAAGACTTTAGGGTTTTCCGAATTATATAAATTTAGAGCTTCCTTAATCCCCATTCCCAAATCGTTTCCCAGTAGCCCCAACGCTTTTATAGAGGGAAAAGTTTAAAGATTCTATCTTTTTTTTTTTAAATATATATGTATTTTTGGAGTGTTTGATGGATCGTCTGCGCCCAAGACAGAGACAGAGACCGGTCTTCTCTGGATTTACAAAAGCTGAGGTGAAAAAACTCTTTCTTTTCTCTTTTAAATGACATTTCTTTAACTGGGTATTTACTCGTTTCTCCAATTGTTAACGAATGTTTAGTGTTAGCTGTTACCTTTTTCTTTTATTCATGTTTTTTTTTTTTTAAGAATTTTATCAGGTAGTATTGATGAGCTATTAGCAGTAGTAGTTTCGTTTTATGAATGAATAGTTGAGAAATTGAGCTCCAAATTGTATGGTTTAAAACAAATGGTGTTATGAGATCTTTTCATTTATTCACATTTTTCAGTATCGAAAAGTTCCTATGTTTCTTAATGTATTCTACTTTGGAGTTAGAGCTCTTGTCTTGATTCTGGTTTTTGTATGTGATAGTTTTGATTCGTTGTGTGATGTTTGGCACACATGCATTCATGTTAGGATCTTTATTGGTTTGACATTGTAATATGTGCATTGTGCACTATGTTTGAATGTTGTTGATTCTAACCTTTGCTATAGGCGAATCAATGTGATCCTTATGCTAAATTTCTGTATTAACTGTTGAGATGCCTCAAGTTTGTGGTTTCCTCAATGCTATAATGTTATGGGGTTATTAAACATATATTTGCCTCTTTTGTTACCTCTTTATGTACAGATTGATAAGATGGAGAAATTGTTAATTGAATCAAGAGAGCAGCTGCAGAGCAAGGAGTTCTGTAAAAAAATTGCAAGAAGTTTTAGGTTAGTTGCGTTTCATGTATAACTCCATGGTTCTTTTTCTCTCTCCCACTCCATTTTTGCCCCCTTTAATTAACCAAATGAATTAGCTTGGAAGACGCATGTTGTCTTTGCAGTTCATCCTCAGGTCGTGCTGGCAAACCTATTGTTAAATGGACTGAGGTCTTTCTTTACTTTACTCTTTCTTTCATTTTCTGCATTACTTCTCTTATTGTTTCTTCTATTTTCCTTCAATTTTGCTTATTTTTATATTTTAACAGTTCAGGATCTCTCATATTTCCTTGTTGTTTCTTAGGTACAAAGCTGGTTTGTAGCTAGGCAGCAAGAAAGCACATTCAAAGTTCCTTCCTTGACTGCTACATCCAAAAATGAGTCCAGAATCCCTGAAACTTGCCCTCTAAACAATGGACATCAAAGTTCTGAGATTCTTAAAGGTGTGTGTCTTTTTATGAATTTGAAAAAAGAAATGTTGAAAATTGTGAAAGTTTCAGATATCCAGTTGTTGTAAAACTGTTTTAGTTCAATTTGCTGCTCCATTTTGGAAACATGAAAGCTCTATAAGCATTGAGGATATGGCTCCAGACTTTTGTTTTTGCACATAATGTTATATAACCTAATTGTTCAAACAACCTGAAGATTTATTTTTAATTGGCTTTGCCTGTGTAACTATCATAATCACAAAATTGCACCTTTGTATCTCTTTGAGCAACAGGGCAGAAGAAGTGGAGTGGCCTTCATTACCCAAGTTATTTTCTTTTACTTATAAAGTAAAATTTTTACTATTATAGAATTATAGTGGCTAACTCAATATATGAGTTCACTAGTGTTCATATTGACTCTCTGTTTCTATTCTACTGGTGCAGAAAATTTTCACATGTTTCTTGTTAATGTCTGCCTTTGCTTTGTGATCTAGAAACCATGACATAAAAATGAATTATAGAACTGAATCATCCCTTTCATGTTCTGGAGAAAAGTATGTTTTTCCATTGCTAATATTTTTCCCTCTCTTTAGGAGTGGTTTCACAAGTGGGAGAAAAGGTCCCTAATCTATCAGAACTAGAGTTCGAGGCAAAATCATCTAAAGATGGAGCATGGTAAGCACATTAATCTAAATTAATTCAATAGCAATCATCCGGGCTTTTCTATTATGTCATGGGAAATCTTGTAACTTAAATCTGCTAATATTGGACTAAGTTGATTTTGGTGTGCAGGTATGATGTTGATATGTTTCTCACTCACCGATTTCTCAGTTCGGGTGAAGCTGTAAGTACCTAACTCATACTACTGCATTCACTGTATAGACTGATGCTTATCCTTAGCTAATATTAAAGTAGTCATAGTTGTTGTTAAACATCTTGTGGCATGATGGAGTCTAACTGATATGTAGGCCATGACCACAAATGGATTCATGTTAGGTTGAAACCACGTAAAGTTGTTAAAAAAAGATTTTGTTGTATTCTAACTTATGAGTATTTATTTTATAAATCATTTGATAAAATATATTGTTTGTTAAAGGAAGTTCGTGTTAGATTTGTTGGATTTGGAGCTGAGGAGGATGAATGGGTTAATGTAAAAAAGGCAGTACGAGAGCGATCCATCCCATTTGAACATTCCGAATGTAATAAGTTGGCCATTGGAGATCTTGTATTATGCTTGCAGGTAACCATGGATGCACTTATTGTTCTTAAATTTCTCTAATAATCTTCCAACATTTTTTTTACTTAAATTTACTTTTTTCTGGCTTGATTTTAGGAAAGAAGAGACCAATCAATCTACTATGATGCTCATGTCATAGAGATTGAAAGGAAAACACATGACATAAGAGGTTGCAGGTGTCTGTTTTTGATCCGATATGATCATGACAACTCTGAGGCAAGCATTGCATCCTGCTGTTTACTCTTTTTAATTTATAATAGTTCCATTGCATGTGCAAGAAAATTATTTCCTTTGAAGCTGCCTGCACTAATCTTTCTACCTTCTTGCTTTTTTCTTTTTTGCCAGGAGAGTGTTCGCTTGAGGAGACTATGTTATATTCCAGGCCAAAAAATCAGATAGTTTGCACAATGCTTCTGAGCATATCTTCCAATCACAAATTTGCATTTTTCTCTGGATGGGTTGGTTTATTGTGATTTTCTGAACGAGAAGAGAATTACAAATATGTAAATCTGTAATCGTCTCTGAAGTCATTATTGAACCATCTGGGAAAATATGACCAAGAAGCATTGTTTGTACATTTGGTACAACTTAAGTAGTTTTTATTTTTTTGGAATTATAACATGGATAATAACTCCAACCACAAATTTCTTCATAAAATTCCTTCCTGTGTGATAATCGCAAATACAATAACCGATTAGATTCGAAAGGATTCAGATGCCACCCAGTTGCCTAACCTGCTCATGCAAGAATATCTCAACCTTAATGCCGGTTGCTGCAGCTTCGCTACTTATAATATTCAATTCATAACAAGATTTTCATCGCATTAATGCTATGATCTAATTTAGGGAGTCTGCATGGGATATTTTTAGGATGTGTTTGGATGGAGCATTTGGAAAAGTGATTTCATTTCGCTTACGGTTTTCGAAACCTTAAAAATGAATTTATTTATTTGGGTAAGAGTAAGAGAAAAGTTCAAAACCTAGTAGTTTTTCAAAATTTCTTCAAATCTTCCATGCATTTACTGCCCATCATTAATTACAAAACTAAAAATAATAAATAAATAAATATCTCTTTATTAAACTAATATATTTTTTATTTTTTACATTATTAATAATATCTATATCGTTTTACAAATATAATGATATGCACATTACATATTTTATTTTTACATATTTTTTATCTTTAATATCATAATGATTTTTATAATTAATTTTTTATCTCATCATGTTTCTATAAATTAATTTTTTAAAAATATTTATATAAATAAATTAATTTTTTAAAATACTTACATAAATATTAACATTTAGCAATGAGAAATTTTAAAAATAACTTCCTTTCAAATTTCTGCAAAATTTCAAATTATTGCTGGGCAAATTTTTGATAACTTGTGCAAGATTTGAAAACGTTACGGATGCATTTGCCAACAAGTAGTACGGATGCATGAAGAAAATCTAAAGTCACAAACATTACAGGAGCAATGGCAACCATTTAGCGCTCTTACAGAACAAAGTCAACAACCTTCACTGCTGGCATTTAATGGAACTATAACAATGAATAAATGCCCAGGCCAGTTAATCCTGCAGTTTTTTCAACACACGTAAGCATATATTCTTTAGAATCTATACTCAAGACGTATGGAAGCAGGTGTCACAGCCTAGAACCTCAGAATGACCCATTATAAACTAACTGCTAGACTATTGTCAACTACAATCCACACCCAAATGTCAAGGATAATAGCATGTCACGAAAGCATTGGTCTCTCAGATAGCAAGTCGCGATACATTCTTTTGTGGACAAACTGCGACAAAATCAATTGCTCATCGATCTTAGATCAGAAATGTTCCCTTCTCAAGCGATTCATGTTGAAGATATTAAAATTCTAATATCCTGGAACAGCAGAGGGATCATTAGCCGGGTTCAACAATTCTCATATGAATTTCAGCATCCAGGTGGTTCTGCAAGAAGAAAGTTGCAAATTCCGAGCCTCCTAGCAATTAAACTAGGCAAGGGGAAGATAAAGAGAGAGGTACCATGAAAAGAAAAGTGATTAGTCACATATTCACCATTCACCACTATAACGTGTAAATAAATCACTCCATAAACATATGCAGTTAAACGAGTTAATTCAAAAAATTTGGCTTAAGGTTTCTTTTCCTGCACAGTGGGCAACCATGTAACATACATAGCCAAAACAATTAATGCAGAACATCACAGACAAAACATCCAATTATATCAGTCGGTTCACAAATGCTTGGACATGCAAGTGAACACAAGCACACTTGCACAGCACATTGCCTAACTTTAAACTTTAAGCATGATCGAGAAAGTTGCTTAGCTATTTGATGCCATAAAAAATGTAAAACAAGAGCAGTAGTGCCCCAAGCGTCACCAAGAGCTGGTGGGTGCTCGTATTTCTGTATAACATCAGTCCCAATCACAGAAGGCAAAATCAGATATGGCAAAGAATTTATCAGGAACTCCACATTAAAGATAATAATATGAATCGTTAAAAAAGACATGATGTGCTTACCGCTTCAGAGGTAGGGAAAACAGACAGTTCAAACATTCAAAGATGAATCACCTGAAGCTGTACCTGAAAAATATAAGGAAAAATATCACAAATAAACAAATGGCTAATGTGCACAAAACTGCAGCCTACCACTATGCATCAAGTTAACCAGTGAAAGTTCCTTACCAAATCAAATATTGGTTGGTCTCAAGGCAGTTCCTTAGCAAAAACTTTGGGGCACATATAAAGGGGACTCTGCTGCATTTATGCTTCTTGAGATTTTGACCTCTGTTAATGATAAATAAGCGCCTCATAGGCTCACATTTTGGAGCCTTGACAAATAATCACCACATGACACCACTCTAAAGTCTAAACTCCAAAGTACAACATTTAGACAGTGTTAAAGGATCAAACTGTAACCTAAAATACAAATGGCATATCAGACTACATCAGCAAACTATTACAAATTTTTACCACTGGCATTCATAAGCTAGTACAGTACAGAAAATTGGTACATTAAAATATCACAACTTCAATTATTCAAATGCTTTTCCACACAGAAACATTTTGGAAAGAGATATATCACCTCTAGCATGTACCATATCAAAAAAAAATATTATGAACCCTCCACTTAGGAAAAGAAGAAATAATGGGATGAAAGCATCTACCCGAAATAATTTGCAAAATTGGGGTGTCTAGCAAAAGCACGAGGCATTTGCAGTTATGATTGTGTGACTCCAACTGTCCACAAGATATTCAACAGACCATGTGCTGCATGCACTGGATTAGCTTTTAGGGAAATGAGAATACATGCATCAACTACAGCACAAAAGTTAATGATATCCCATTACATATTGCTGCTTCAAAATATACAACATAAGTAACATCCTCTCTTCTTTAGGGTCAAATCAGACATCCAGAAGTGAAAGGGTGAAAGATCATATGATCTTCCAGTCCAGAAAACAAGGCTAGACATAGTACAGATTGAATGACTCAAAGGATATAGAGTCCAGCATAAAATCATTGTTGTATGTCCTCAAACACCATCAACAATTAAAACTTAACCTGTGCACTTGCCTTCAACCAAGAAATTATGGTTTCAAAACTATACAAGTAAGGTAAGAACATCTGGCATCTAATGGGACAAAAGATCTGAAATTAGCTCATAAAGATTTTGACTTGATTGAATGACAGTGCACAGGTGTTTGAATAGATGCTACATGATGGTGACAATAAAGTAGAATTTTGCATACATCAACTCCCAAATGCTGTGATCAATCAATCCAGCCAAAGAGCTTAGTTCCCTTAAAATGAAGCAGTAGAAACATCTCTTGTCATACAAATGCACAATCAAATGAGTGGCATCTGAACAAAACTTTGGCAGTTCACGAAACAGTTCGACCATAACAAACTGATGCAATATAGAGATTCTTTGCCCATTTCTCCTGGTGAAAAAAGCACTATGTAAACATTTACATTTTTAGGAAAGAAGGATTAAATAAGCTAGTGAATAAAGTTGAATGAAATACCTTCACATGAGTGCTAGGAAAAGCAGAAGTTCGAAGTGTCTCCTGAGTTTCATCTGTGGGTTTTCTTCTTGGAACACTAAGAACAAAAGCAGCTTGATCCCAAGTTGCAGCAGTTGATGTGATGCGGTAGCCACTATCCCACCTCCGATGAATACCTTCACTAGGATAGAGAAAATCTAATTCTACAACCTGCAAGTGCATGAAAAAAGGATATTGTCAGGCCATAAGGTTTTTGTTTGCCACAGTGATGTGCCATTGAATAGATATTCTTAAATACAATAAAAACCTGGTCAGAAAATGGAGCACCACGTGACATAACAATTGCCCATCTGCTTCCAGCAGTGGCCATGGCAGTCACATAAAAGCCCTCCCTCCATTTTTTGTTGATCCACTTAAAGGGAAATGAGTCGCTAACTTTGTAGGATTGCTGCAAATACTGGGTCCCTACATCCAATAAAGCAATAAAATAAGACAAAGAGTGCATAAATATAAAAAGTGTAATTTCTTTTTAGATACCTTAGAGATAACTAAACTAACCCTTAGACATTACAACTAATGAGCTCCCATTATTAGCTCCTGCGATTGCACTTATGTAGTAATTCTTTTCCCATTGTTCCATAATCCATTCCTTCATAAAGTAATAAAATTGGTAGATTAATATCTATATAACTAACATGAAATATGTTATACAGCAGATGCAATATAAAGAAGTCCCAGAATCAAATGGAACACAAGCAACCTTATGAAGAAAGTATGGTGAGAGTTCATAAACTTGAGCGGTGAAGCCAGTGCCAGCATCCATAATAAGAGCCCATAGGTTTGAATAAGAAGCCACACTGCTGATAAATAACCCATCCTCATTTCCTTTCTCAATATGTTGGGGAAGCCTGACATCTGCCACATTATAATGATATCTACAACAAGAGATAGAAATTATCAACATCTATTCCTATTCATGAACTTGAACAGCTTGATGGTGATTTTAAGCTAGATACCTTTGCTTCATAGGCCTACGAGCATTATACACACTAATCCATTGTGTTGCAGGCATTCCCATTCGAACCTTCTTCTTCGGCTGTTCATCCTCTTCCTCATCCATCATTAACCGTCCTCTCTTTTGTCCTACTTGATATATAAGCTTCAAGACAAAAAGTATATGTTAAATGAATTCCAACGAAGCAACTACTGAGATGCACTTTCCTCTCAATGACAAGTCAACCAAATAATGCAAAAGCAAGAAGCCAAAAGTACCTTCTGAGCACCATCAGTATTTATTGGCCTAATATCTGGATTCGGACCAACGATCCCATCAAAAAGTGAGATATATTTTGCATAATTCGGTTCCTCATCAAACTTCAAATTCACCACATACTCAACAAACTGTCTGAAAGGTGCAGGGCAAAAGCAACACAAAGTTTCTGGGGAAGTGGCCATCTTCTTCTTACAAACAAGAAAGCCTTTATTTTCACCCTAAAATAACCACTTGCATCAGAAGGATAAAAGATAATAAATATGAACATACTGATATTTATATTAAGGAATTGCAAACCTGATATCCTTGCCAAGGTAACCGACCACGTAGGAGAAAAATGAGTGTGTATGCAAGAGACTCTAGATCATCTCTCCTGCTACCAGTTCTACCAAGATGAGCATGCACACTAGCATAACGTACAGTTCCCCTGCAGTAAATGAATAATCAATAACTGTTAATCAAAACCTCAAAAAAGAAAAAGGAGAAACCACCCAAGCTTATAGTTAGATAAGCAAATCAAATTTATGCCCCACCAAAAAAGGAAAAGAAAAGCAAGCAAAGGTAATGGATAAACAATTATTAGTTTAACCTGAAAACATCTGGACGTTGATCATACTCAACATGTTGACCACTTGAACTATCTCGCCACCTGGTTGCTGTTAAGTCAAAATAGAAACAGAACAGTCATATATGACTTGGATCTGTATATAAAATATATCTAAAAGAAAAAAGTCTACAGCTTACCTAATCCTAGGTCAACAAGAAAAAGTTTTTTCTCATCTAAAGTCCCCGGAGGACCAAGCAAGAAATTCTCAGGTTTCACATCCCCATGCACATATCTGCAACAATATAAAAGCAACAGCATTATAGCAACAAATGTGTTCCAAAAAAAAAGAAAAAAAAATTATGTAACAGGAAGAGTTATAATCTTTCCAACAAAAACCAATGATAGAGACCTCAACTCAGTGGACAGAGTACCAACATTATCAATCCAAGCACATCAACTTTCTTAACAAGACAATCCTCTTGCTCTATCTTAAAACCAAATGAAAAACAAATCATAGGCAAAACAGAAAAATGTATCACCCTCTGGAGTGCATCTTCTCTAAGATTGAGATGGCCTCAATGGCAATACATGCAACCATTTCAATGGACATCCTGAAATTGAAAAGATAAAGCTACCATTAAGTGGTCAATCTGTGAATCAATTAAGCGAAACCCATCATGTAACTTCACAAAGAACATACGTGTGAGAGTTGTTATTCCAAACATCCCATAAGCTAGGTCCAAGCATATCCATAACCTATTTTAAACATTGCAACATCTCAGAGTCATACTCTAAAACCTGATACATATATATGACAAACTTGGCAACTGCACTAAGGAAAGCACATACCATAACATAGTAGTCACCTTGCCGGCCCTTGTAATGAACTCGAGGCACACCATGGCTACCACCAAGTGCACTGCAGAAAAAAAAAATTTGAAAGCCATAGTTAAAATCGCAAATGACATACAGCCCTAATTAATGGGGCTATCAATACAAATATAACAACCATTAAACAATGAGATGATAGGAATCTCACTTGTAAACTTGCCACTCATATGGTGGCCCATAATTACATCCTTTGCTGCTTCTATGCTCAAATTTTAAAGCTACCTAAAATCCAAACATAACAGGTTTAGCACATTCTGGATATGAAATATTTGAGTAGGCAATGGAATCATCTATAAAATAATGCAGTACCTCTACAGCTCCTGGACCAGTAGCACCAATTCGTCGACCAACATACACTTGTCCAAAGCCTCCTTTCCCCAGTTTTCTTTCTATTCTATACATCGGGGAGCCGCCTACCTGAACCTGTTGCAAAAAATACAAAGCATAAGAATCCATTCTTCAGACTAATATAATGACATTAAAAATTCAAAATTTTCATTCTTGACATTATCTGGTCTTTCCTCATATTGTTACTCGTGTTCAATGAAGCTTAATTCTAGGACCAATCCTGCAAAGTCAAACCTTGTTTTAAAAGGCTAACGTCAAGGAAGTTTGAAGTTTGAAGCAGCAGGTAGTAAAACAGTCTAAAGATCTCCAAAACCAAAAAAAAAAAAAAAGAGCAATAAAATATTAGGTGAAAACGCGAACAGAAAATCAATAAATATCCACAATCAACACTTTCTTTCTGTCCCTTGTACGGATACTTTGATAACAAATTAATAAAAAAAAAATCGGAAATGCAAAAATAGAAATCTTACCCAAAAAAATTTAAAATCCAAAAAAAATTTTTAAACAAATACCTTTTCGGGAAGTGGGGCTGTGCTTCCTTCATCTTCGGCTGCAGGGCCTTTATCGCCGCTACGGCCGCCGCTATCGTACTCGTCCATCTTCTCGGCAACCTCTTCTCTCAAAACCCTAAGCGCTTTAATATCCTCGTCGTCCTTTCTTCCAAACGGGGTCGCTTCGAAACCAGCACCGCTCACGATATTATTGTGTTTGTTATCGTTGTTGTCAAACTTGTTATCATCAATAGCAGCAACGATCGCGTCCTTCGGTTTCCTGTTCTGTGCGGTTCGCCTTTTACGAGTGCAAGTAGTTAACTTCTTGTTCTTCTCGTTGTTGTTGATATTGGGTTGGGGGAGAACATCAATCGGGTTTGGATTCGGGTTAGGTTTGATGGAGGCCCGATTTCTGCGAGCGTGGCTACGCAGCTCAGGCATCGTAGGGATTACGTTCGTCCATTAAGGGATGTAAATTGGTGAAGATTCATGAAGGTTCTAGAATCATCGGCTGATATATTTCGATCGCTGGCTTCAAGCGATAGGGCTAAACCCAAAAAAAAAGGAGAAAGAGATTTGGGGTTTTTTAGGAAATTTACACAGAAAGGGATGAAATTAGGGTTGGGTGAGTGGAAATTTCGGAGATCTGTGGAGGGAAACAAAAAGAAGCCGATTCTCTTCCTCTATTATACCACCGAGAGAGAGAGATGTGATGTGAGAGAAGCAATGCTCTATTGCTGATTTTCTTTTTCCTATTATTAATTTTGATTTTTGAATTACAAAAGCATGGATCAAGAAAATAGATTAAACAGTTAATTCCGCAAATCTTTAATTTCTTTTTTATTTTAATTCCATGTTAATTTTTTTATCCTTTGAAAGATAAAAATATCCTTTTTTTTTCGTCCTCGCATGAATGAGTAGTGTTTATATTGCTAACGTGCTATCATACGTGGAGGATTAATTGAATTAAGACCGCATTTTTTAATTAAAAGAAAAATAAAGGATCATCAAAATTTAGAGTGAATCAAAAATAAATGTTCCCAACTCTTCAATTTTGTGATGACATATTTTTAATTACTAAAACAAAATTAATCACTTGAAAAATAAAAAGCTTGAAGAATGATCATATAACTTGATGTATATATCAATATTAGGTGTTTTATGGAACATCACATATTAAAAGTTAAAACTTAAGGGGGAAACACAGAAATATGGTACTTTACATTGCATAATTGAAATGCAAATTAAAATTAGAAAAAGTCTTTTATTGTTATTATCCAAATATTTGCTTCAATATCATGCAAGCTTTTGAATTAAAATTCTTTTTATTATAATAATATTATTATTCAATCATATTAAATAATTATGTGAAAATTCATTACTTATAAATGTAAATTTTTTATAAAATTTGGATAAGTTTCACATAATTTTAATTATATTATTAAACCAATAAATCACAATTATATATATATATAAGTACATCCAAGATTATCATTCTATATTTGTCCCAAGTTTTCCCCAAAGCTCCAACTCTCCTAACAAAGCAATTCAATTTTCAATTTTATGAAATTGGGTATGTTTTGACATACAATAGGTGTAATGAAAACTGACTCAAACGTTTTAAATGAGTACGGTAAAAAAAATTCAACTTGGATAGTTGAGATTAAAAAGCTCCCTAACCTAACTCACGACATTATTGAATCGAACTTCTAAGTCCCTCCAGTTACAATTAAAATATTTTTTAAAGTATAAAAAAAATTATAATATGAGATAAGAAAATAAATTAAATTATTAATATTTAAAATTTAGATATGTTATTTTTTAATATGATATAAATTAACGAAATTAAATTTTAAATTTTGATCGAAATATTTTAATTATAATTAAGCAATAAGGATGCCAAATTAAAAAAAGAATGTAAAACCATTAAAAATAAAAAGAACATTAATTTTGCTTTTCCAACATATTATTCTGATGATTACCAAAAGATGACTTTATCTATCAATCACAAGAGAATTTGTCTTTATCTTTTTTAACATATGCTTTCTAAATGTATACGAATGGACATTGATATTATTAATTATGACTAGTCGTGACTTATACAACAATAAATATTCTATTGTCAATTAAAAAGAAAAAAGAAAAAAAAAAAAAAAACGAATGAAAGAAGAAAGAGCTATAACTCTAAAATTAAAAAAGACTTGAATGTTGGTATCTCTCTACATAAAAAATTATTAGTCTTGTATCTATTGAAGTTGATAAGTTTAATTTTTTATAAAAATACTAACAACATATTTTATAATTAAAAAATATTTTTTGTCAAAATTATAAATATAATGTTTCTTAAAATAAAACAGGTTGATATTTTTTTATGATAAATAATATTAAGATTTTTAAATAGTAATATATATATAATAAAAAATTATCTAATTTTGTAGTTGATCTATCTTTTTTACATGTGATAATCTAATTTAGTGTCACGTATCTTTTGATTATCATATGTCAAAATTGATTTACTTTATAATATTTTACTTTCAATAATATTACAAATTTCACCTTTAATTTGGTAAAAATTTCTATTTATTAGCAAAATTTAATTACAAATTCAAATAAAAAATTTATTTCTCATATATTCAAATATTTGTATGCAGAATCAGCTCTCAATCAAAATTTTTATTGATTCTTTTTTTTTTTTTTTGCCTTTTCTTTCTTTTAAGGTGTTTATAAATTAAGTGAACATTATTACTAATTCAAAAAAATTTTGTGAAATTACTTATAATATATTGTTATTGTTAGTCAACTATTAGTATTTAAAATTTTCATATATTTTATTTAAAAGTTATTATAAGAAAAAAAATATTATCCGTGCATTGCACAAACTTAAACTAGTTAATTATGAGTAGTCACGACTTATATTACAATAAATATTATAATACCAATTAAAAAGAAAAACAAAAAGAAAAAATAAAATAAATGCAAGAAGAAAGAACTATAACTCTAAAATAAAAAAAAGACTTGAATGTTGGTATCACTGTACAATCCAACTTCTTATTTGATAAAAAATAAAGGATAAAATGAAAAAGATTTATAATTACACATTATATTTTATATAAATATATAAAAATCAAAAGTTTTTATAAGAAATAAAAAATTTTAATTTGAATAATTTATTATTTTGACATTCGTACCATTTTGACACGTGTCATATATTTAATTATTTTGATTTAATTTAATTTCAAATTTCAAATATTTCATTTAATACAATAAATTATATATATATATTTATTTATTTTTAGTTGACTTAGCTTTCACTAATAGTATATTTTTCCCTTTTTATGCTGAAATACATTAATATCTATATTTAAACCTTAATAATGTATTTCATTTCACAAAGAGATGGTTCTAAATCTCAAAGATTTTCGGTACATTTTTTAGGTTTCTCTCACATTTTGCATATCCCTTTACTTTATTATTATTATTATTTTTTTAATTTATGTTTTATTACTTTGGTAAGGATCGAATTTTCATTGATTAAAAAAATAAACATTTGATGCTTTAAGGTTTACACCATTGCAATCTTACTAGGTTCAAAATTTATTGTTGATTGAAAATATATTTTTTTAATCTTTTCATGATATTTTTAACTATGATTTTTTTAATAAATTTTAACAATTATTTTAGACAATCCACTCGATTTATGTTATACCATTGAGATCGTAATTAAACTTTTTGCTTAAGATTGTCATTTTGTGCTTAAGCATATAAAGTTGTCATTAGTAGTTGCTTATGATTTAAAAAAATATTATGGTATACAACAAAATAAGGTTGTGTATTCTTTCATTATAGGCTCGTGATTTTTGGGTTATTTTTTATTTCCTATCTATATTTTTAAATTCACCTTAATATATAATTTTCAATGTTTATGAATCTTTTACTTTTGATTTGTTTTTTTAAATGATAATGATTTATATCTGATGTAATTATTTTTTATATATTTTTAAAATTTCTCAAGATCTCTTTCATAATTTTTAATTTTATTATATTAAAAATTTGTTACGAATTAAAATCATCACCTGTGTGTTACGCGCTTAAATCTAGTTTTTGTTTAATTAATGGTAGAGAATCCAGAAGGTCTTTTATTGTTTCTTGGATGGTCTTGTAATGGGCCGACACGTTGCGCGACATTGAGAGATATTTTTTTTTAATAAAAAGGTGCTGGACAGATGTTCATTCTCGATCAAATACTTAGGAAAGTTAGTTGGGAGAGAACCAGAATTGTCGGACATTAGCAACAAATACAACGAATGATGGAAAACGTGGAAGTACTCTATCCGTATATTTCCCAACCGAAGTTCTCATTTGAATTTGATCGATTAGTATTAATTGTAACCTTTTTTTTTTTATTGGATTTAGTTTTGCTTAAAATTTGTGTGATGGTACTTGAGACCAGATGTGTGCCAGAGAAAGCGCTTAAACCTGGAAGGATTTCACAAATTCTGGCTGATAAAAATCCTGTCCAATTGTCTGCAAATTTGATGTTACTTCGATAGATTCAAAAGGCAACAAAACAGCTTAGCTAGATATTAGTATCTTCGGGGAGGGCTTCCGGTATTATTGATAAACTCAGAAAAATCGAATCTCAGCAACGGTGAAAATATCAAAGAGCATATTGCATCTCCGCAGTATGCTTATCCCCAAGTTCTTCAACCTTTATTCCAAGCTAGCAAAGGCCTTTCCTTTCCTGAGTCCCCCCACCGGCCACATTTCAGCCGAAACATTGGCGGCCACGCCTTTTTCTTTTGGGTTTTTGAAAGTGATTACTTCACCCAACTCCCTATAGCAAAGTTAGGCCCATTATGTCTTTTGCTCTAAGCCCAGATTAAGAGGTTGCCAGAATTGAATTTATCACCACTTAAAAAGACCAGAGTCTCAAAACCCACCACCACGAACAGCTTTAGATCCTATGATCTCACTTCTTAGCTCAGGTCCTTGAATCCAGACTCAAGATCGATATATCAGGAAACCAAACCCAACACTCTGTTAGGTCTCTCGCAATATAGGTCCTAAAATCTCTACAGCCCCGATTGGCCTCGTCCAAAACTCATTGTAAATTAATTTTTTTTTAAATTGAAAATATCAAAATTAAAAGTTCTATATTTTATCAATAGATTTTTTATCATAAAAAACTATTTAAATAAAGCATTGAAATTATTTAAAGCATTTAACTTCAATTTTTTTAATATTTAAATACATTTATCTATCTACTTGATATCAATTTGAAAAAACCTTAACAATTTTATTCAAAGAGTTTTACTTAAATCCCACCAAAGATAAGGTCGTGCAATTCAAACTACAATACTAGTATCTTTTATATCAAATTTAATAAGACAAATTAATAATTGCATATTTGTTAATAAAATATTGAATTTCATTTTAATGATCAAGATTTAAATTATAGTAACATCAAGTGCCAAAAATAATAATAAGACTTTCACTTCATTGCAATATTCTTTTTGCCTATAGTATAACATTCTTGATTAGTTAGTGTATATAGTTGATTTTGGTTATTAATATTTTATTTTTTTAAAATTTTTTAAAGTTGTTAAAATTGATAATAAGTTATAACAAGTGTTAAGATTGTTTTAATTAATGTTCTTTTACGAAACATGTGATAAAATTATTTAAATGAAGGTTATTTTATCGAACAATTATTCATATAACAATCATTTTATAGAATAATTGTTTACGGAATAACTATTTAATAAACAATTCATTCACTAAATAGTTGTTTTTGGAATAACTTTATCAATAAACAAAAGTAACACATTTATAAAAAACTCTTGAAACACAAATTACTTCACTAAAAATTATTTCACCAAAGATGTTTTACTGAAAGAATAAATGAAAATAATCAAAGAATATGATAAAATTTTTGGGTTAATTTCAATATTGAGATATTTCAGAGAATTTAATTTGATGAATCATATTTAAAATTAATTAAGAGATTTTCTCTTAATATTTTATCGAGGAGTGTTTTTCATTTTTTTTCATAACAGATAATGAACTTTTATGTCTATTATATCTATCACTAAAAAATTAATTAAACTCCCAATACATTAATATATTTTATAAAATTAATTGTTTTATTATTTATTATTATTTTTATTCAATATTAAAGATATGTAATTTTTATTCTTGAAGATCGAGTTTTCACAATTCATTAAAAGATTTTTGGAGACTTTTGCCAAACTTACTCGATACTCACTACAATTCCCTCTTCCTTAATCCTTTTCTCGAAGTCATTTTCTTATTTACTCGACTTTATTTCACCATTTACCACCGTCTGCTAATACACTCGTTACTTTATGATCTGCTCCAATCTTCCTCTTCGTAGTCTCCCGATGAATTCTGTTTTATTTGTTTATAACGTTTCTTCACCTCAACAAAGATTCTGATTACGAAAAGAAGCAATGATATTGATGAAGTCTTTAAAATAATTTATGCTGTCTTGTCAAACTTATAAGAATTATGGATTAGAAGAAGATCAGTACCGCAATTCTCACCGGCAATAAGAATTTCTGAACCAGAAAAAGTTATAAAGACTATAAGCAATTGGATTCATTTCCACTACTAAGTACTAAAATATTAAATAAAATCGAAAGTATATTCACTAATATTAGTTTTCTGTACACAATACACAGAAAAGCAGGCCTTTGTCCTGACTCTCGAGAACCCAGGATCAAATGTGGGAAAAAAAAAAAACAAAAAGAAAAGACAAATACGAAAGGCATGAGATAAGAGAGAAGAGGGAATCAGGAATAATAATTTTCTCGTTAAGCACCCTGTCTCCCTCTGGTTTAGCACAAGATCAAGTGGCCTCAACTCACTGTGAAGAAAGGTGCAGAAATTTAAAATGTCTGTTGCTTTTCCCCTAAAGATCAAAGTCAACAGAAAAACTTTTAAACAACGTGTAAGGAGTCTTAGCCATACTGATCGGCTGCTTCCAGGACAGCCAACCATTTCTGCAACCTCAGCTGCTTATAAAAACTCTGAATAAACTCCTCAGCTGCTTCGTCCACGCGATAGTCTTCATCGTCATCCTTTAACACGAATGGCGAGTCCCTGCTATTCTGCACTCTCCGCCCTCTTGGTATTACTAGTGGCGACTCATAATCACCCGCATCTCTACAACCCATCGCTCCAAAAACTATACCGTCTCGAGTGCGAGAGCGCGCGCTGTTGTGAGGATAACGGGGTTTGCGCTTTCTGGCATGGAAGGGAATGTAAGGTTGATACGTGGGGCTGGTGGTGCAGCTGAACTCGTACTCCATTGGGGATACGAAGGACAGTTGCACGTCACGTGATCTGCAACTTAGTGAAGCCCGGTTGGTGACCATGAGTTCGTTTAACGCTTTTCCCATGATCTTCCCACGTTTCATTAAGAATTGAAGATCTTCAAGTACGAGCTTGCTCTTTGACAGACCTTTCCTTATCATGAAGAAACTTAGACGAGCCAAGTTAGAAAGCTTCTTGGCAATGAAGGGTGGGCTTGGTTCCATATCTAGAGGGAGATTTTTTGAAGTTGCTTTGCTCTGAGAGAAGAATTTGAGAGAATCAGGTATATTTAAAAGGGACGGAATGTCGAAAAGTTTATCACTGTTTGTTTTGTGCTGTATGTTATCATTGCTTTAGTTTGCTTTTGTGTTTTTTTTCTCTTCTGCTAATCATGTTTCTTTGTCTTCAACCATTGGAAAATGGTTTTAGTTTAATGCCTCCACTTCTAAAAGGGGTTTGATTTTGATTGAATTGACCAACTGGCCATTAGTTTTACACTTTAATCATCGCATCATTTTTATAGTCGCCAATGACAAGGAAATGATGAAAAATCTTGCTTGTAACTTGATTGATTTACATGGATATTCCCATTGTTGCAAGATAAGAGCATTTTTGCTGATCATTTTGAAAGTTTTAAATAAAAGTTGATCAGATCAGGTAAACCCCAAATTACTGCTGTTGCTATGATATAGTAAATTTTCAGCTGTTTAATACAAGTTCGATTGAGATTTGGCGTGCGTTTAGGATAAGTTCAAAGGACTAAAAGCAAGATTTAAAGCTATTTGTATGGACTAACTAATACAGCAGGAAAGTCTAAAAGAGAAAAGATAACGTCTATCCCTTATGTATTATGTTAAATTAGGTATAAGCCCTACTTTATCCTTGCATTATACAATGGTGTCCAATTTAAAATTGATATACTTAAAACAAATTCTTTAGCTTTTATTTAGTTTATTGCACTATTGGGTCTCGTAATGATTACAGAGCTAGAATCCTATGTCAATTAAAGTGATTATTAGTGATAACAATTAACAAATATCCCAATTAATATCCCTGGCAAGTGGAAGAACCGGCTGTTGGGTGGGGAAAAGTAGGCAAGAATGAAAATGACTAATATGCACGCGGTTAATCTGCAATTGAACTTTTGCCTTACAAGTTCATTGCCATTTGAAATTATAATATGTAGTTGTCAGTATGATTTCTTTATCTCTGTCAAGTTGGAGTTAATTTGATGGTTTGGGGTTTAAGACAGGTTGATAATTTCCCTATTCCGACTTCTCGGATGTTGATATTATCATAGTTAATTAGAGGTGGATTTTGATAATGGCAGGTTTATTTTGGGTGAGGATATAGAGTATAGAGTATAGACTATACTTAAATGGTCCATGTATATTGAGTTTAGCAGTATTTGTTAACCGGGTTGTTGAAACATTTGTTTATCAGTTGGCTGCTGGCTACGAATTATCATAACTTTTATGCAATAATGGGTTGATAATTCAACCTCCTAAAGAAATGCTTGCTGGAGTCAAATTTCCCTGGGAGGCTGCTATAGATAATTAATTTCACAATCATAACTTTAGAAAGTGGTATCAATAGTTATAATGAACCATAGGAAGACTTTCTGAGAGCCTTTCTCAATATAACCCCAGCTTGTTTATTTCAACAATTCAATCCAACGATTCATATATGGTAGCATTATTTCGGCTTACTTACCGTTCTGGATTCTTCATTTTCCATATACCATAAAGGCCTCGTTAGTCTTGAGACTCTGAGGCCAGGATGGCCAGAAAAACTTCTATAATTGCCGTAACATTCAACAAGTCATGATTAATGTTTGCACCGACCCTATAATCTGACAAGCAAGAAAAAGTTAAGAGCTTTCCACTCCGTCAATCGTGCACGAAGTCAAGGAATTGGTTTCTAATATTTGATTTGACAATTTGTAAATGAATCTTGTTTATTTTGTATTAAATATATTAAAAATATAAAAATTATAGTTTCACAATTTACGGAACATATCAAATGTGAAATTTTTAAAATTTTTAAACCCATATACGAATTTTATTAAAATTTTGAATTGTATTATTTTTATTTTTTATCATTTTTATAAAAAGGTCATATTGTGAGCTTTAAATTTATTAAATCTAATAAATATCTGCCACAAAAAAAAAAAAACCCATATGCTAAGTAAAGCAACCTAACCCAAGGATTTTTTTCTCTAAATTATAGGATTAAAAAATATGTTAGGGTTGTAATAACTTTTCACTATTAAGTTAATTAAATTTATGATTAAAATTTAATAATTTTAAATTAAATATAAAAATAGAAAAACTAATTAAAAATAAAAATCATTTAAACAAATATTAATCATATATTTAATTAGAAATGCATTTATCACTCTTAAATAGAATAGTGTAAACTTCTACTATTTTTTAAACAATGAAGAGTATCCTTTCCCATCAAAAACGTTTTAATTAAGTTAATTTTTTAGGTTAATCATTAAATTAATCAATTTGGACAAATAAAAATAATGTTGCAGTTATAAAATTTTACAAGAAATAAACAAAATGACATTGACGCCAGGAATATGTCCAAAATGCCCCTATATACGCTCTATAAAAGTTTCTTTTGAAGACAGCTTTTTTACCGAATCTTTTTCAATCTCAAAATAATGGAGCAAAATTCCCAGCCTAAATGGGATGCCAAGGTTTCTGCAAGGTTAACAAGAGCTTCTGCAGACCAAGTTTGGGCCGTTTATACAGATTTTTTTAACTTTCACAAATGGTTTCCCGGTCTACCCTCATGCCATGGCATCCATGGCACCAACGGTGAGCTTGGTTGCATCAGGTTGTGCTCTGGTTTCTCGATCTCATCCGATGGCGGTGGCCATGACAGGGGCTCCGAAAAGTGGGCCAAGGAGAGATTAATAGCCATTGATCATATCGGGCGTAGTTTAAGCTATCAGATGGTGGACAGCAATATTGGGTTCAATTCATATGTTGCAACGGTCAAGATTGTTCCTGGAGGTGATGATGGTCATGATCATCAAGATGGATGTGTGATCGAGTGGTCCTTCACCGTTGATCCTGTGGAAGGGTGGCAATTGGATGACATGAAGAAAAAATATGAGGTGGGTCTCCAGGGCCTGGCTAAGAGAATTGAGGATGCAATCTTTGAAGTTTAGAGCAGCCAAGTTAAGAAACATAGGTCTCTTTTGCTTATTTCTTCTAAATTAGTGTTTATGTTTACCCACAAGCTAATCTTTGTGTGGTTTCCATGTGCTCAGCCTTGTATGTCGGTTTTTCTAATGTTGTTTAACCCTTGAATATTAATTAGTTTCTTTCATTGGCCCAAAAAAAAAAAAAAAAACCTTTTAAATATAATTCAAAGAATGATAATGTAAGCTATTCTAGATGGTGGCAATGTCACTGATAACGTGTCAATTTTCTCTTCTTTGATCTTCATTCCCAATGTCAAATCTACCGCTCCTTTAATTGCTGCTACTTAGGCTTTTATGTGCATTAAAATAAAATAACTAAATTCTTCAAAGTAAAATTTAGAAAAAGGAATTGGCGTATAATTCAAACCATCACCACTTCTTACTGCTGCAATCTTTTTACTAATCGTATCTTTTACAATTGATGACGGATGCTTCATAACATGTAATGTATTAATCATCAAGCTATTATTTCAATATTTCATAACATAATTTTAAAATTTTTTTGGAAGAAAGACAATTTAAACTTTACCTTTTTTTTTAATAAAAAGATGATGTATGCATTAACCATTAAATCAAAGAAGCGGATATGTAATTTTGGTAAATGATTAATTGTGGCTAATAATTGATTCAGTCAGAACCCGGATTTAGCACTGCTCACATTGTTATGAAATCATCCTCACTGTTTACGGGCTTCCAATGAAGTGATCCACTCGTTGGCCCAACCAATGACAGGCAAGATGGGTTTGCTTACCTCATTCATCGGGCAAGATGCAAAACAGAATGCATGAAACTTTCCAATGAAATTCTTCAACCCCCCCCCCCCCCCCCGGTATAAACGGAAATGAAGATATTTTAAACACAAACCCCTATATATAATATTTATATATGGTTACAAATTTCACTATAAATCAGAGATGCAAACGTACATGTAGATGAGCTTTCAACTTACACATCTACTTGTGCTTTTAAACCGGTGATCTAATTTTAGGTAAAAAGAAAAACACTTAATATATCCTGCAAGATCATTTACCAAAGACGATCCATCCTTTCAGCTCTGGCGCCTAATCTCTTCTCCATCCAGTCGATTATATCCTGCCCAATCTCTTCATGCTCGGGTTCAAAGAGAAGGTCGTGCAAGAAGCCCTCATAAAGCTTTATGTCTTTGAACTTGGAGGCCGCCTCGTTGTACAAATCCTTGGAGGCGAGTGGATCAGTGACTTTGTCTGCAGTTCCATGGAGAACAAAGAATGGGACTGTCACAGACTTCAAGTTTTGCATCAAGAAGGATGAAATTTGCAATATCTCATGCCCTGTTCGGACCCTTATTGGACCAGTGTAGACCAAGGGATCAGAGTACTTGGCCAACAGTGCTGCGGGGTCCCTTGAAACTGGGATGCCTCTCTTGTTTGCACCTTTAAACTGCAGCTTTGGAGCAACCAGGGAAAAAAGAGGAGCAATAGCCTGCATATAGACACCATATAATAAATTTAACATGGGGAAAATGGTACAGTTTGTAATATCCATTTCAATCTTGAAGGGATTCTGGGACGTTAAGCTAGAGATTGAATTAAATCACAGCCAATCATATTATCTACAATATGTTATTGATATCATTACCCAATAGCAAAAGGGCTATACAAAATCAAAGCAACTCGTACATATCAACCATAACAGTTAGATGGCATTGTAGATGATATAATCATGGAAAAATCATGAAAACACTATTCAAGCTAAAACCAGACCCATCTAACTTTAAAAGAAATTAACACCTCTCCAAATTTATTTGCACACATCTTTTGATTAACACAATATTTTAGAAGATCTTTGACATTTTAGAAAAGGGAGAGCCAGGTTTTTGCATAAATGAAACTGCTATTAAAAAGTTTCAACGGGTCATTATTAAACCATTGATGGATAATTGGTTGGTTTTATGGCAATTTAACTTTAATCCTTCACTTGAAGAAATAAACCTCAGAGACAACTACAGCATGATTTAGCACACTACAAACCAAGAACAAGCAGCAGCGACTTACTCCGACAATTGGATGTGTTGGCTTAACGCGCAAAGCTGGAGATGTCAGAACAATTCCCTCCAGCATTTCTTCAATATGAGGATATGAAGCTGCCTGAGAAGTTGCACCACATAAATTGAAAAGTTCAACTGATAATTCAGTTACTTAAACAAATTGGTAGATGTGATACCTTCAAAACAACAGCTCCACCAGTAGAGTGACCAAAAAGGAAGCAAGGTACACCCGGGTTCTCTGATTTGATCTTTTCCAAGAGAGCCCCCTGAAGAAAGAGAAGAGACAAATCTTAGCACCACCTTGCAGGCATATTTTGAATAAAGCCAAAATTTGTAAAAGTGCCAAGTTAAAGTTTTAGTTGTTTATCAACAGCCGGTAGTTATGATATTCAGTAACCTTGGAATCGTTTATGATTTAGATGTTATATAATTACAGGAGCAAAAGGGTAAAAAAACAAAGTAATTAGTTAGAGTTCATCTAAGTGCACATTAAAAAGATACATAGAACTCAAAGGGAACTTACAGTGTCTGCAACAACATGATCAAGTGAAGGAACGTATCCGTGCAATCCATCACTACCACCGTGACCTATAGCACGAAAGTTTATCTTATTGCCACAACTTAAAACTAATAATTTTGAACACGCCTTTGCCAACAGAAAAGAAAAGCAGAAATACTAGTGTTAAACTCAAATTATATACCTATCCAGTCCATCGCGTAAGCACCAAAGTGACAAGAGGTTAGTTGCTTTGCAAATTGAGCATATCTTCCACTGTAAATGAAAACCCACAAAAAACTAGAGTATGAAATGAGGAAATTTTATTCCTTTGGGGAAAAAAACAGAGATGATCAGGTTAATTTAGAAACTCATGTTACCTGTGCTCATTCAGCCCGTGAATAATTATTAAAATGCCCCTAAATTCAGAAACAAGCAGCACTTAGGAGACAATAGAGAAAAGCAAAAAAGCAACACTTAGGAGACAATAGAGAAAAGCAAAAAAGCAACAGAATAAAGGCAACTATAAGAAAGAAAAGAAAAGAACAAAAGTACAGGCTACAAATTTGTATGATACTAACGACACAAACTAACAGTAAAGCATTATTTGCAAATCAACCCAAAGGAATTTAATCGCTGAAGAAAGCAAAGCATCATTGCATTAAGTTATACTAAAACTCAAAATTTGATCCTCTCAGTTACCATTCTCAAAAGAGAAAATTGAAAATTAAGTTAATTTGTGCGGAGGCTTTAGTTTCTCCAGCCATTAGCAATTCAAAAGGTACTAAATTTAGTTCACCTTTAAAAAGAGTAAATTGAAACGAAAAACGAACACTTTATCTAAAATTTTATAGTATCCATTTAATTTAATTTCTTTCCCTCAAATTCTATAAGAAAAAATAGCGTCAATAAAGAAAAATAATGCCTTACCTCAATTCACCGGTAGCGGGAAACCAAGACCGGCAAAACAAGGCATTTCTTCGAACCCCAAAGAACAGAGACGTGCTCCAGCGGCAGCTAATCTCTCCATCCCCTGTTTCAAACCCCATGTCCAAACCCTCTGCCAAAGCTCTCCTTCTCAAGGTATCCTCCTCTTCTCGCACCCATACCGATCTCCGCCTCGCTGTTTTAGCCGGTGATTGCGGCGCCTCAGCAGTGGAGTCAACTGCCGCAACCGCCGTCCGAGGTTGGCGGCGCCGAGGGAAGAGGAGAAGGAGGAGGTACAAGACTATTGACTGAATGAAAATGAGAATAATTCTTAAGGTTTTTAGGATCGGGATTATCCGATTGCTCGCTCCCGACGTCAATTGCTCCATCTCCCCCACCGTTGACATGGCGGAGAAGGCAAAAAAGAAAATTATAATTCCGAAAGAAACGGAAAATTTTGATAATAAAAATCTATGGATATGAAATGGAATGGAAATACGGAAAAGGTAAAAAATGAGAGAATCCAGAGAGCAATTCGGTTGGGATATTTATAGCGCGCGGGACGTTTCGAACTAAGGAAACTAGAAAAAACAAGGAACGAAATTAACTGCGTTCAGTGACGTGGATTTATTTGATTGAGTCGCGGATATGATTTCGATTTTGTAAGCAACATAAACGGTGATGACGTGGCCAATGCTTTTGATTTTGACTGTAGGGGAGCGTAATTCTTTAGCACAAATCTCCTTTAATCATTTAAAAAGATATGGAGGCTGTAAACTGATACGCAAACAGCACACTCTCCGCGTAGCCAGCCTGACAGATCGGCTTCGATCAATCGAGTTTTAACGGCTTAAGTTTTATTTTTAAAATAAAAATGTAATTGGGTCAATGTGTAAAATAAATAAATAAAATTTTCAAAATAACAGTTCAGGTTTTGAGAAAAAAAAAAAAACTATCACAAAATTTTCCTCTTTCAATTATTATTAATTAAAACTTTTGAACTTTGAACAACGAAAGAGAAGCCAGCCAGCCAGCCTCACTAAGCGGCTAGACCTTGAGGAGCTGAGATTCAAGGAAGATCGGCGAAATCGTACCAGAAACCCCAAGACGTCTATTTCTAGCCTCTAGCCTCAATTTTCTCTTGATCATCGTCACGGAGATTCCTCCACGTGTCATCCCCTGAACGCAAGGTTCATATAAAAATATTGGAAATGTTTTTATCTTTATTCCTATAATTAAGTAAGCGGACTTTACGATGGACATTAAAAATGACATTTCATAAGCCTAGCCAAAAAAATTGACATTTTATAAGTGTTTGTCATGTACTTTTCTGTCACGGCGACGCACGTAAACATCACGGCGATCTTACGTAGAAGAGAGGCGCGGGTTTGGATTGTATACGGCCTCCCTTTGCCACTTATTCTACCCTAAATATTTTAAATTAAAAGATTAATAAATTTTATCCCATTTTTTGGGTTTATAAAATATAACGTGACATCATGGAAAAGAGTTTGATATGAACAAGGTAAACAACAAAGAGAAATAATTAAGAATAAGGATACGTATCTTAATGTTGGCCTATAAAGTATACGGATAAAGAGTAAGGATATAACTTCTCCACGTTTAAAATTGTTCTGGGTCATGAGAAACCATAGAATAAATAGATCTACGTGCTAAAAAGAGCAGATTAAGATTAACAGATAAGAGCATTAAATAAAAAAAAAAGAAAGGGAAGGTGTAAATGAATGTAGTGATAGTAACGGATTGGATCGGATTGAATTTTTGTTTGTTTTGAATTCGATCTAATTTTAAACATATAAAATTTTATCTCACCCGATAAATTTTTTTATTTTTAATATCCAAATTTGATCCGATCTAAAATTAAAAAGATATTATTTTAAATATAAATATAAATTTATATATATAATTATAAAAATTAAATATAAAATTAAATAAATAATTTATATATATATATTTTTTATATCGAGTCGGGTAGGATCGGGTTTACCTAAAATTCGAATCCGACCTGAACCCAAAATTTTTTTATGCTACCCAACCTTACCCAATTTAAAAAAAAAAAAAAATCGACCCTAATGATCGGATCGAGTCGAAACTCATCAGTTTCGAGTATTTTTACCTTCTCCAAATAAAAGGATTCAATTTTAATTCTAAAAAGCGGTGAAATTTATGTTTGTAGATTGTATAGAAAATCATTTTCCCCATATTTTCTTGCTTCTAACTAGTATGATATGTTATCGGATCAATTTATTTTATTTTTGTTATTAATAAAAAAAATAAAAATTTAAAAAATTATAAATATTAAGAAATCTATTAAATGTAATGACAATATAAATTAATTAAATTAAACGATAAATATTTGATAAATCTTTTAGTAAGAAGCATAATGTTAAACGTAAAATGGACACAATATTATTTATTTAAGAAAAATCTATGTAAATTAAACTATATATTATTAAATCGATTCAAATGGATAATTGAAAAAAAAAATTGTGACATTTGCAGTGTCTTCTATTAATGTGTTGTTGATTTAGTTAACATACTAACATACATAAAACATTGACAAATACGATAAGTGAACACAAGATGGTGCTTTTGGGGTTAGGAAAGGATTGGTTGCTCTTCTAATCTTGTATTGAAGACTGCAGCGAGAAAATTGGTGAAGTATTGCACTCAAAAACTTATTGCTGTATGTATTTTGTCGGGGTGTCCGTTGCCAAACAGAGAAAGGAACATTAAAGGGCAACAAGCTGACTATAATACCGACAAGAAAGATCAAAGTGACAAGAAGACCTGCCAAAGAAACGATCGACATGCACAGTGGGCTTGATCGATCAATATTCATTATTCCAAACAACATCATGGTTTAGACAGAATGCACAATATGTCATCAAATTAGGTATAATTTTTAAGCTTTAGACAGAATTATTAAAGTGTTAATCCCACTTATTTTGTCTTTTTGCAAAAAGAAGTAATATGAATGGATGGTCGAACATCAAGTTGCCATCCACTGATGGAGACAAGATCATACTTTTCTCCCGCTGTCCCAACTTTATAGTGACATTCTTGGGAGTGTAAAAAGGAGCGGAAATGATTATTTTTCATCGTTTTCGGCTTTTATTTGCGGTAATGGACAAAAAGAAGTTAAAACTATTTTTAAAATTAAAATTAAAAATTATATATTTATATTATATTTTGTTTTAAAATTATATGTTATAATTTATATTATATGAAGATATATTTTTTAATTTTATCAAATTTATATATAATTTTTATTAAAATTTTAAATAATATTATATTTATATTTATATTTTATTTTAAAATATTAAATATAATTAAAATAAGACAAATAACTACTCATTGATTTAATCAATGGGATAGTTATTTAAGGTTTTACGGAGAATTGTTCACATTTTTTGACAAAATCAAGCAAATGAAATCATCATTCTTTTTGGTTAATTTGGTATTTACCTGACAGATGATGAAAATTTAAAAAGCTGGTAGACGGACCACACGGTTTTGGGGTTCTTTTGAAGTTAAAAGTTGTTGCAATTGTTTGCCATAGACAAAAGAAAGAATCCCTAATGATGATACTTGAGCTTTGAAGTTGGGCAGTCCTGCCAAATTCTAGTGGTCCATATCTTTTAACCCTAATGGGCTGAGCATAGTATGATTGGGTTACAGAGACAATAGTATAGGCCAGCCAATTAACAATCACGGGGCTGCTGTTTTCCGTCAGCTTGGATGACTGTTCCAAAGGCAGAACAGAAACCACCGACGAAGCTGATTACAACAGGCTGAATCCGAAGACCGATAAAACCTAGTCGTGGTGATTCTTGCTAGGCCTAGAAGTTTGCATTGCCTGCTTGCTTCAGGAACTGATTTTGGGAGCTCTAAACAAAAATTGAAGAAATTCTGTCTAGCCACAAATGTTGTTTAATCTCTTCATTGTTACCTTCAAGTTCACGCTCAGCCTTGCAGATGAAGGTCTAATGCCGAGGAACACTGCTAAAATTGAAGCTACAATGAAGGGAAATTTGAATGAATAGATAATTCCTTTTTTTTTTTTTATGGTTTTCTTTGTTCCTTTGAAATTCTTTTGAAGGCTTTGAAGCAGTAGGCTCTCGACTCTCAAAGTGAAGGAATACTTCTGAGCGAGTTTGGTATTAATTTAAGTTTCAAACTCCAGCTAGTTTACCTATAACTGGTGATCATTATCAGATTGGCAAGTGATATCGGACCATCAAATTCTGCTCTGTAATAAAAGATGACTGAGAACTGATTTTTGTATTTTCAAGTGCTTAAACCAAGAGCAACACTTTGCTTTTGCTTTTCACCTCTTTAACAAATAACAAAGCAAATAAACAGCCAGAAAGAAGTTGTCTTTCCACCTAGAATTTCTAGGAATGCTTAAACCAAAGCGATTAAAACAAAATGGCCAATTTGCTAAATGGGTTTCATGCAAATTCATCACAAGAGGATAACAAAAGTGCCCACCTTGGCTTCATAAAGTTCAAAAAAGCACACAATTAAAAGCCTTTTCAATTAAGTTTCTCCGGCAACCCCTGTGAATGCAAACCCCCTTTATTGAAAAAATTTATTTCCTCCTTATGCCAAAACCATCCCCTCTCTCACTTTCTCTGATCACATGCTTTGATGTATTTCTCGTGATATTGGATTTGTTTAGATTAAAACTCTTCTCTTGTTTCAGAGCCCACACCAAAAGGATTAAAAAAGAATCATATTCTATTAGTTTCATTTACTTTTTTTCCACATAGCAGGAACACTTGGAATTCGTATGGGTGGAGTAGGCCATCTCGTGAATAACCATAAAACCTGATCAGCAATAATTTCCACAAGACACCTGGGTGTCATTAGCTTGTTGTCCACTTGAGCTCATGCTCATCACTCTTGCTAGATGGTGCATACATTCAGTCTAAGTGTAGTTCACGTTCTATTTTATTTGATTTCGATTGCTTTGTTAAAGGAGACAGAGTTAATTAATAGCTGCCCATCATCAGCCACACGATTCTTTCGAGTTTAAATCTAGAAGTATGGATAAATATATATATATATATATATATATATATCATCGTGAAAAATCTAGCCTATTCAGGATCCTTTATTTGTCTCACTCTTGTTCATCGCAGGCATAAATAATTTCAGCATTCTATATACATTTTCCAAAGGCTTCTAGAGAAATTACAACGTCTATGTAAATTAAATCATGGGGGTCCTCACTTCAGTTCCTAACATGAAACTGGTTGGTCTGATCAGCTATTAAGAAACTAAACCTACACCAAGGAGCTAGAAACTCGTTTTTCCCACTTCATTTCCCTTTAGAGTATTTCGTTATCCACCGCCATGGCACCAAATAGGGAAAAGAACATAGTTAGTCCACACTCTCAGAGCAACGGTACTATCAGCAAGTCACGGCTTTCAATGGAAAGTCTCCAAAGAACAATATCTGATATATCGTTTGAACTAAGCAAAGAAGCCGTTGATGCAATCCTTCCGCCCATATCCGAAGTTGAGGATGCCAATTGCGAGTGCTGTGGCATGTCTGAGGAGTGCACTCCAGAGTACATTAGTCAAGTTCGAGACAAGTTCTCGGGGAAATTGGTTTGCGGTCTGTGTGCGGCAGCTATCAATGAAGAGGTGGAGAAGAATGGGGGCAAAAGAGAAGAAGCCCTAAATGAGCATATGAGTGCTTGTGTGAGGTTCAACAGACTTGGTCGGACTCATCCTTTATTGTACCAAGCTGAGGCAATGAGAGAAATCCTGAAGAAGAGTTCAAGAATCAGGGCTAAGTCGATGAGTCCCAGGGACAAGAGTGGTCCAAAGAAGGGTGGTATCTCAAGGAGCTCCAGTTGTATGGCGGATATCGCCAAGGAGAATAGTGACCAGACAATGGTGAAATAAGGGAACTTCAAAGTCGATGGCTAGCTCAAAAATTTTCCTCCTTAGGGTCTCTATATGGAACAAGCCTTTGCAATTGTATTAATGCAGTATCTCAGATTTTTGTTTATTCTTTTGCTTTTTAAACTTGAAATTAAGCCTATTAAATCTAGAGCTACGTACATATAATTAGGAAATTGAGGTCTTTCCATCTTCCAAATCCCACTTTTGTTTCCAAGATTTAAAGCTGATACCTTAAAAATTGTAAGTTTTAACTTTGGATATGAGCAACAAATCTTGGACATTAATTTTAGGATTTTCTTGTGTCTATGTTGTGCTAAGTTATTAGTTGTCCCTATCTGCTTTTATCGGTTGCCCATGAACAAGTGATTGTATCTCGTAACGATATATTTTGAGTAATTAGCAATTGTATTTTAGAATATTGTGAATATTTTTATTGTAGTTATCATCATATATTTCCATTACATAGTTGTTATATAAATAAAGCTAAACATTATAAAACTATGAAGAATTCCACTATTGTGGAATAAAAAAAAAAAGGCACTGATAAATTTGAAATAAAATTAAAAAAAAAAGAAAAATCTTATAATCTAGGGTATCCATCTCACAAGCAAACTTCGACTATAAAAAGAAAGGCAAAGCATTAAATTAGTATCAGCTCAATTGCAAGATTAAGGATAAAACTTTTGAGAGATTGTGTTAAGCTGAAGAGGGAATTATATATGTGCCAATTTTATAGGAAGTTGGACCTACGTGGCCCAAAAGAAGGATCAAATAAACAATCTTTTATGTATCTTCCTATGTCGTGGGCTTGTAAAAATGGGCTAGCTCAAGGCGTGTCTACTTACAGTAATAAAGACAAGAATTTTGTTGGGATGAAGGATACTCCTGGTTGGCCCAAATGGCATAGAAAAAAATAAAGAAGCAGAAAAATTGACCTGCATATATATTATTTTATTATGTAGTTTAAAAAAAAATATTTAATGGAAAATAATTGAATTCAGATTTTTTTACATGAAATTTGCAAAATTTTCGTTGCATATTTACATTGTTAATCAAAATCAATAATTAGTTAGTGAACTTAAATATATTAGAATTGGACACTCATTATGTGGATAAAAAATGTGATGATTTGGAAAAAATTATATTTTGAAAAAGATAATATTTAAAAAAAAGGGTGGGTAGTTTTTTTTTTTTTTCCTAAATGGCTAGTTATTCTTTGTATTTCTTTTTTTTTTAAATCAAATTCTTTGTATTCCTTTTTTTTAATTAAAAGAATTTGTATTTCTAAATATATTTAAAATCTACGATATTAGAGATATTTTTATGAAAAATCCCTACTCTTAGGTTATTAGTCGGCAAATCACTTAATTACTAGAGTCAAAACATTTATCAAGATTGATATGTTGATATGTATCATAGGAGCGAACACATATAAGTATGGAATAAATGTCTTGCATGATGATCAATATTATCATAATAAATTAATATTATAAATATTTTTTAAATTATAATAAAATATTTAATATGATAACAAAATTTAATTTTTTTTTATTTGATACTTAAATTATGATTTAAAGATCATGACACTAACCGTTACTGATAAAACGATGCAATGCATCACCAACACGAGAAAGAAGATTGGTTTCTCTTTAAATGTCCTTGTTCCCCTTCTGCCTATGTGTTTTTAGGGAACTAGGTAACTATAGGATGGGGACCATATATCATTAAATCTTCTAATGATTTGCACGCAAATCTCTCCGTGATCCGCACAATTTTGGATGTCAAACTTTTTGTTTTTTGGTGGGGATGGGATGATGGGTTTTGAACTCCTATCTTATATATATTTTTTAGATTTCTTAATTATTAAATAAAAAAATTGAAAAATATTTTACTACTATTTTTAAATCTCTCTTCCCCTTGCTAATTTCTATCTCCTCATCCATTTGCAGTTGGGATATGCACAAATCTCTTGCACCATAAAATATGTTTTATAATTGATAGAGCAATTATATATTATTCTAGAAGAGATTTAAATCAAGTCCTCTTATCTTTATTTATTTTTGTTTTTTTGTTTTATTAATTGAACATGAAAGATTTGAAGTCAGCTCTATAAATAAAACCAAACGTCTTAACTGTAATTTGAACATTTTCAATAAAACCATATATATATATATATGCATTGAATTATATATACTTAAATTATAGCTCTTGGATGAACAAAAAGTGATAGATAGAGATGCTTCCACGTCTATATATAAAACTTTACTAACATTGAATCGAATGACAACAAACATAAAATATTATAGTGAAGGGGGCTCGTGAATCCTCACGAGTGTGTATGGCCATGCACGAGATTGCAAAATTCCATTACTTCTGCAACACATGGATTTGGGCATCTTTAAACTTTAATAATAGTCCCCCTCGTTGGTGCATGTAATCCTTTCCCATTACATCTCCCATCACTGTTCTCTCTCTCTCCAAATTGCAGCACACCATCTCCCTCTTAGTGGTGCAATTTGCTAGTCATTTATGGAGATCAAAAGTGACTCTTATCATTTAGAAAAATAATAATACAGATTTTTTTGTCTATAAAGTGTAAAATTGAACATGTAGACCTACCTCAATCTAATACAGTTGATCTCTTCTCTCTCTATTTATATATTCTTCCAATTCACAACTCAATTCACTGTTTTCTCTTTGTCTAAATACGTATATAAGTATAGTTTTGCTTCCTTGGAGCACATATTTGTAACCAGTTAAAGAATCATCCGATCTCTTTTTAGTAATGGTATATATGTATTTATATGTATCTGAGTATAATTTACAATATTGCTTCTTTTACTTCTTGTACATACGTTTTACATTGATTCAAAATTTAAATTTTGTGTCTTTCTACAGAATAATAAGCAAAGGCTTCTTCTAAAGGCGGTGTCTGATTTATCTTCGGAAATAGAAAAGTATATAGCATTAGAATCTTCTTCTACAGTTGATGATCAAATCAAGCAAGCAGAGTGCGAATGCTGTGGACTCAAAGAGGATTGCACCTCAGATTACATCACAAGAGTCAAGGGTTGCCATTGTGGGAAATGGGTCTGCGGTCTTTGCTCTGAGCCTGTAAATGAGAGGTTGTATCGAGCTCCATATACAGCCATGCAAGATGCAGTGAGCTTCCACAGGGAATTTTGCCAGCAGTTCAACTGTACTACGAGACTCAACCCCAAACTCTCATTGACTTGTGCAATGAGGGATATAGCAAAAAGAAGCCACGAAAACCGAAGTTCCAGGAACTTGTCAGCACCAAAGATTGCTAGAAGCAGTAGCTGTGTCCCAAAGATAGATTTTAAACACTAATTAACTAGTTTTCTTCATTTTGATGCTTTTCTGAGGATTTAGGTTGACAAGTTGATAGATAATGTGTACTAGCATATGATAACTTTAGTTGATAGATAATGCTTTTTTGATGCTCTTGTTGTTTTGAACATGTATGATAACTTTAATGTGTACTAGTATATAATTGCCAATTAAGGTGAATGCATATATATACTCTACAATAACCAGTAGCTATCTTTCCTCCATATCAGTATACACATTGAACAGCTTCAATTTTTATTGTCTTCGGATGAAATCAGTCACGGCCCCTTGTTCCATTCCTTCCTTGAAAGACTGGAAAGCTTTTTGGGTCATCCTGAATGGATGCCAAAGAATTTAGGTGGCATGATTTCCGTATTTATAGATGAGGGCCAGGTTTGAAGGAAATTAATGGAGAAGCTGTTAATTATCTTCAGCTACACTCGGAAGTTGCCATCACAAAGAAACTTATGGAAGAACAGAAATGGGCTAAACCCTTATGGCCAACTTAGCTCTTAATGAAACTTATGCCCATCTGGTAATGGTAATGGACTTCTTATTGGGCTTAACAAATTCTAAAGCTGTGTCCCATCATATGATCCAAACGATATATACTCTGAGCAGGCTGAATTTAGGTGGACCGTAGACCTCAAAGAAAGGGTTTGTATTTATAATTGAGCGTCATAATTGCTCGATGGTCCCAACTCTCGAACTCCTCCAAATTATTGTACAAAATTAAGCAAAGCGAGTCTTAGTTGGTGCAAAATCTCACAGAGAAAGTGACTACACACGTGCGATAGACTTAACTTTAGGGTTTAAAAGAGTGAATGATGGACCGAGCTTTCTAAAAATAGGTGAAATTTTTAGTCATTTGATTGGACCATTCATCTAAATATTCAAAGTCGAGTGTCCACCATGAAAATGACAGTAATATATGAATGTCATGGTTCGTACTCAGTTGGGTAATAAAATTAAATTAGAGCTATGAATGACAAACCTATTAAGATCCATCCCTTTCATATATACTATGAATGAAAAATCCCCAGTCAAAAGACGAATTAAAGTTTATCTATATGTAAGAAAGGTTTTTTTTTTTTTTGGTCGTGGGTTGGATCATGCAATTAACATAGAAAACTGTTGCTAAAGCTAGATAATTGAGCAGACAACCAAAAGGGTGGTCTGTCGAACCTTTATTAATGTCATATTGGGGAACGTGATATGATTAGCTAGTAGAATATAGGGAGGATCGCAAAAAAGACTTGAGAACCCCAGATTCTTGTTTATATAAATTCATAGTGGCCAGATAGAGATTCCTTCGGTTCAACCCCAAAAAACAATTAATGCAATTAGGGTTTGTCAAAATCTCAAAAATATTCATTCACCAAAGTGTTAATTAAAGAAATAGTAACTAATAAAGCAAAGATCCAAACAAACAATATGAATCGTGCAAGCATGCATGTATTTTCTTGGTGAAAGCTAGCCAACTTGTTTCTTTGTCATTCCCACTTTCAACTTAAAATCACCAAACTGGAAAGGTTTCCTTGATGGGCTTCATGTGCAAAGCGAAAAAGAATGGCGATATTTTCAGTATCTTTTTTTTTTGGATGAAGAACAAATTTGAAGAACATTTGGTAAATACAGTGTTATGACACTGGTTTGATCAGCTGCCATGTGACCCTCAATTTGGCTGATCACTTACCTAATAATAATCGACGCTATAATCTCAGTGGACCCTTACGCCCGACATTTGTTGATCACAATGCATAAAAAATTTATTCTTTGTGAAAAGAAAGTGGGATATCCAAGTTCCTGCTATTAGTCCTCTCATTTTAGCCAAAGTAGTATTAAAGTTTCAAACTTATTGATCACTCTCTGGACCACTGACTAAGAACACGAAACCCTACAATAAAAGAGGATTCAGACCCTTCTCCAAGGGATATGGGTCGGTTCCACGTCATGCATTCCTCATTAGACCAATTGGAAAAAAAAATTAAAAAAGAAGAAGAAGAAGAAAGATTTAAGAAATAGATAAAAAAAGGTATAAGATGAAAAGTGAGATATTAATTAGTATAAGTACAAAATGAAAGCACTAAACCTAGTTATTGATTTATTGTTTTTAATGCCCTTTACATCATATTGGCATAAATCAACTTTTTAATGTTATATTCTTACAAAGGGAATATTGAACTGAATCAGGTATTTTGATCTGCCACCTTCTAATTATACTAAATTAAACACCACAAAACATGAAAAATAACCTATTCTAGAAATGTGAAAGACAATTAGTTAGTTTCTAGATATCGTATATGAGCACTGGATGACAGGAGCCCAACTTTTTCATAATGAGAAAAAAATTTTTCTGTAAATCCTCATGCCTCTCAATTCCATTATTCATGTAGTGGGATCCATCACACTCACAACATAGAAATATATAGTAATAAAGCAAAGTTATATATTATATGCTCTCCTCTTTTAGATTATGTACCACATGTAGTTAAAATCATATATAATATAAATCTTAAAAGGTGGGTTTAAGGAAGAGTTGTAGATTCTTCAATTATATCCCATTTTAAGCCAAAGAATAGTGGAACAATTAATTACACGTAATGACATAAATTAATAGTGATACCATAGTCCTATCATTCATATTTTGTTAACTAAAATCCAAATATATGTACGATCTCTATATATAGTTGTCAACAACAACTATTTTGGACAATATATATAATAAAATACAAGCATGCGTCAATTATGTGATAGCTAAGCAAAAGACTAAAAGGGGGGAGAGAAAGGAGTGGAGAAATGGGGTGTGGGCGTTAGGGGGGAGGGACGTGGAGGAGGCCAAGGCTAAGGCTCAATGGGCAAAGCTATTTTAATGGGGTGGCTAATAAGGAGAGAAAGGATTGTTATTGTAAAACCCTAGAAAATGGAGACATATATGAAAGAAAGCATGCTGGGTATGACAAAGACCATACACTGTATATTCCTTCGAGAAAGAGATGGTGGGGTATCCCCTTACCTTAGAGCCTCATAGAGAGAGAGAGAGAGAGAGAGAGAGAGAGAGAGCGCACGAGCATTAGTGAACGTATGGACACCCAACTTTTTCTTTTCAATTCTTGTGTTCTCCTTTACTTTCCCTACCTTTCCTTTCTAATTTCTCAATATGACTATATGCCTACAGCTTAATTCCTCCCTTTTCTTTCCTCTTTATCTTTTCTTTATTGAAAACTTTATATAAAAATAAAAAACTCACTGTCTTTTTTTTATTCCTGATCTTTGCCTCACTTATAATTCCTTTTTGTACCCTCTATCTATCTAAAAGGTTGATGTCTTTCTCTTTCTTTCTTTTCTTTACTGTGGGAGAATCCAAGATAATTATATAGAGTCCAAACAAAAGGGGTCGAAGAATTTTGCTTTTACGTACGCCTGCGATGACTGATGAGCCTTATTTCATTCCCTTTCTCTGCCAAGTAGCCCTCACTTTCTGCACTAGAATTACAATCCAAACCCATTTGTTCAGGGTTTTATAAAGATATACTGCTATTGCGGACAGAAGTGAATGAAGAAGAGAATAAAATATATCTGAATTAATAGTTTGTCATAATTTCTTCTGACAAAGTCTTATATATGACCAATGACAACACATCGGTTGAATGCTTTAGAGAATTCCCAACCAAGACTTGTCATAAATAATGATAAGGAAACGCTAATGCCTCCTTTTGTTTGCCAAAAAGAGATCACTATTTCTGTTTAAATCTTACCCTTCTTACCCATGAAATTGAAACAGACCAAAAATAACATGATAATGTTCATTTCACACGAGGACCTGATTTAGATTAATTGTTCAAGTTAATTTGTATTAACTCACAAAAGGTTAGTCCAAATGATAAGGGAAGGAATTTTCTTTCCTTATCAACTTAGGTTTATTCCATATAAAAACATTCCATAAATAAAATTTTGAATGCATCACATTGATACGAGAGAATGCATGATGAATAAATTTTGGCTCAAGCTAAACCTAAAAACACCTCTAATTGTATTTCCAAAAAAAATCCAATTTAATTTAGAGTGCATAACCCTCACATATGTTTTCCTTAAACCTATTCATTATTAGATGAGGTTTAAATTTTGTTTTTGAATACTTTGATCCAATTATTTATGTAAAAAATTGCTTATTGATACTAATTAATTTAGTGGACACTTCATTCCATTATCAATCCCACTAGTAATAATTCTTATTTCCAACGTTAACTTTTGGTAGTCAAAGCTCATTCATGCAATTTAATTTCCTCAGATTATTAGTGACCTTCAGAACCAACTACTATTGCCATAAATAGCTGCTATCACTTGTTATAGCATTATTACTACAAATTAATCTCACTCCACTATCCCTTGTGCCACAAGTATTATCATTCCTCTTTGGTCTTTGACCTACACATTCGCTTAATATTTCTTCTTAAGTTATTTTGATCCGGATTATTGCCCATAATTATCCTCTTAGCTAATTTAGCATTTAAATTGAAAGTAATTTGTGCATTTAAAAGCTGATTTTATCAAATTTTAATGCTACGCAATAAAAAATATGAATTTTTGTTTAAAAATCTAGTTTGTAAACTCAAATAAAAAAGCTAGCAAGGAAGTATTTTTGTGGTTCAACCATAATTAAATAATTTTATCATTCTCATATCTCTAAACTTTTATTATTTTATACATATGTATTTTTAAATATTTTAATTCACTATAGCATAATTTTGTAATAATGTCAAACACTTAAAATTTTTAAATAATTATTTTTTATAACACTTTTAAATATACTTTTTTAAATTATAATTTTTTTCAATCGCAATAACAAGGCTAATCTAACCTTCAAGACTAAAAATGTGGTATTACTTTCGGTAAACATCAATTTTACACCGCATTATTATGTTCACTCCGAATCTGAATATATTAATTATATTAAATAATGAAATTCCTCTATAAAAAGGGAACAAAAGCATGAGTCAGTCACAATCTAGTAAATAAGAACAACATCAAAGGCATAAGTAAATGAAATAAAATGGAATGAAATGAAAACATGAGCTTATAAAATAGAAACAAACTTAATTTGGTCAAATCTTTTCAACGGTTACAGAAATCTTTGTCACTGTTCCAAATTCAGTCAAAAGAGCATTTTGGTAATATCCGACAAAATCAGAGGCTTTTCCAACATCTGTCCGTGTTTCCCTTTCAACCGTTGGTGTTTCAAACATCATTCAAAGGCAAGTCAAGTTGCAATCTCGTAATTATATCTTAATTCAATGCCCACTTCCCTTTCCCTTCCAACAACCATCTATTTATACACTCAAATTCTCTCACTCTCTCTCACCCTACCATCTTCACTTCAAAAGTTGCAAACCACCCCCTCCCCCCCTCAAAAAAAAAAAAAATCCTCCTTTCTCCATTCAACCCAAGTTTTTTTTTTTTTTTTTTTTTTTCTGTGTGACAAAATCCCATTAATCTTTGAAATTTACTGTAATCTAATAACTACATTTAGGTAAGTTACTGGACGTTTCACCAATGTTTTTATTGCCATTTTAAATTTAATTTTTTTGCTTAGCAAAAAAGTGTTAATGCGTTTCATGTTCTTTATTAACTAGTTGTTCCTGTAAAATTAAAACTGTTAAAATGATTCTTGACAATTATTTCATTTTGTTTGGTGTAATTTGGTGCAGGGATCTAGAGTGCTTTATCTGAGTATAGATTCATGCACATATTGTAAGTTTATTCTTTGGTTTCTCATTTTTTTTCAATTATTTACTACAAAAGATGAACAATTGGATGTTTATTTAACTTCAGTTAATTATAATATGCTAAAGTAGAAGCTTTTCTTGCCTTTTCAAACAGCTTGGGATCCGTGGAATAATATCAAAGGTCATCTTTGGTGGAGGCAGAGTCGAAACTCTGAAATCTTTCTTACATGTTATAGAATCATAACATAACATCACCAAATAGAGATGGCCAAGAAAGGAGCTAAAGCAAGTCCAGTAGTATTGTCGTTCATGTTCATGTTGTTCTTGTTCTTGTTCTTCAATTTTGTCGTGTCTGATCATGGTAAAGAATTTGAGCTTCTTTTGTCTTTCAAGTCTTCAATCCATGACCCTTCTGGCTTCCTGTCAAACTGGGATTCCTCTGTCACCTTTTGCCAGTGGCACGGTATCACTTGCAATAATTTGTCTCATGTTGACACACTTGATCTTTCTGCCAAAAACTTGTCCGGGAAATTAGTTTCCTCATCCATTTTCCATTTGCCTTTTGTTGAAACTTTAAATCTCTCCAGCAACCAGCTCAATGGTGAAATTCCTCTAGATATATTTTCTTCCACCTCTTCACTTCGATTTCTGAACCTCAGTAACAATAATTTCACTGGTCAAATACCAAGAGGTTACATTTCCTGCCTTGAGGTATTGGATCTTTCAAACAATATGCTTTCCGGGAAAATTCCACAAGAAATCGGATCGTTTTATAGTCTAAAATTTCTTGATTTCGGTGGGAATGTTTTGGTGGGGGAAATTCCTATCTCGACATCAAACATCACTGCTTTGCAATTCTTGACTTTGGCTTCAAACCAATTAGTTGGCTCAATTCCACGTGAATTAGGCAAAATGAAGAGCTTGAAGTGGATATACTTGGGCTATAATAATCTCTCCGGTGAAATTCCAAAAGAAATTGGTATGTTGACTTCCTTGAATCATCTTGATCTTGTCTACAACAAGCTCACTGGTCAAATCCCTTCCACCCTGGGAAACCTCAGTGATCTTCAGTATCTCTTCCTTTACCAAAATAAGCTTACAGGTTCCATCCCAAAGTCCATTTTCGGTCTCAAAAAGCTGGTTTCTCTTGATCTTAGTGATAATTCATTATCTGGAGAGATCTCAGAACTTGTAATTCAGTTGCAAAACCTAGAGATTCTTCATCTTTTCGGCAACAGCTTCACGGGTAAAATCCCAAATGCTTTAACTTCTTTGCCTCGTCTTCAAGTCCTTCAGCTTTGGTCCAACAGATTATCAGGTGAGATTCCAAAAAGCCTTGGAAGACATAATAATCTCACGATTCTCGACCTCTCCACCAATAATCTCACGGGAGGAATACCAAACGGACTTTGCAGCTCGGGTCGTCTCTTTAAGCTCATTCTTTTCTCAAATTTGCTTGAAGGTGTCATTCCAAAGAATCTGAGCACTTGCAAAAGCTTGCAGCGAGTCAGACTTCAAAATAATCGTCTATCGGGCGAATTATCCTCAGAGTTTACGAAGCTGCCTCTCGTATACTTCTTGGATATCTCAAACAACAATCTTTGGGGCAATATCGGAGAGCAAAAATGGGATATGCCGTCACTTGAAATGTTGAATTTGGCAGGAAACAGGTTTTCAGGGAAGTTGCCTCACGCATTTGGTAGCCAAAATATTGAGGCCTTGGGCTTATCACGAAATGGATTTTCAGGTACTGTTCCACGTGCTTTTGGGAGCTTAACGGAGCTAATGCAATTAAGCCTATCTAGAAACAAGCTGACTGGTGAAATCCCCGAAGAATTATCTTCATGCAAGAAGCTTGTGAGTCTAGACTTAAGCCATAACCAACTCAGTGGCCAAATTCCATCTGGTTTCGCTGAAATGCCAGTTCTTGGTCAGCTTGACTTGTCGGAGAATCAATTGTCTGGTGAAGTACCACCAAAGTTGGGGAAAACGGAATCACTGGTTCAAGTGAATATTTCTTACAACCATTTACAGGGTGGATTACCATCTACCGGGGCCTTTCGTGCAATAAATGCAAGTGCAGTTGCTGGTAATGATCTTTGTGGAGGAGATGACACGAGCGGTTTACCACCATGCAAAAAGGTTAAGAATCAAGCTTGGTGGTTTTCTGTTGCTTGCTCTCTCGCTGCTTTAGTGTTGCTTACTCTTGCTGCTTTTGGAGTCGTACTCCTTCGAGGAAGAAACAATTTGGAGCTGAAAAGAGTGGAAAATGAAGATGGAACATGGGAATTGCAGTTCTTTGATTCCAAGGCTTCGAAATCAGTAACAATTGATGATATTACACTATCTGCCAAAGAAGCAAACGTTATTTCCAGAGGTAATAAAGGCATCTCATTCAAAGGGAAGTCGGTTGTAAATGATTTCCAATTCGTCGTGAAAGAAATGAACGATGTCAGCTCAATTCCATCAAGTTTTTGGTCTGAAATCACACAATTTGGCAAGCTTCAGCATCCAAATATTGTTAAATTAATTGGAATATGCCGGTCGGAAAAGGGTGCATATTTGGCTTACGAGTACATAGAAGGGAAAATTTTAAATGAAATCCTTCACGACTTAAGCTGGGAGAGGCGGCGAAAAATTGCTATCGGGCTTGCAAAAGCTCTACGGTTTTTGCATTCATGTTGTTCGCCAAGTATATTCGTTGGACGCATGTCACCGGATAGAGTTATCATCGATGGAAAAGAAGAACCTCGGTTACGATTGAGCCTTCCTGGACCGGTTTGTTTAGAAAACAAGCGCTTCATTTCTTCGGCGTACGTTGCCCCAGGTAATAAAAAATACTAGTATATGCTGTACCTTTTTAACTAGAATTTATATTTACGTACTATCCGTATATAAATGTTAATAATAATATTATAAAAAAATTAATTTTAAAATCTTAAAAAAATACACTTAACTAAAAAAATATTTAAAATTAATTTTTTATAAAATATAATGTACAATTTATTAATAATATATAACATTATATTTATACATTAACAATATGTTAAATATAGATATTTTTAAGTATACATTAACTTAATTATGTAATTTTATCGTATATGAAAATTTTTTTTGTGGCAAAATATTCATCAAGTGAAACCTTAAATTATGAGAAATTATTGTTTTTGCCTCTTAGATACTTCAAACAGTAACTTTAAGCACTTCTAAGTAGTTAAGATTTATTAACTTAAAAAAAAAAAAGTCCGGCTTATTTTACCTGGTGCATGCCATGTTATCAAATTCACATTGAAAATAAGACGCCAAACCATCCAATTTAAGCATTAATGATTAAAATGTTGTACGTACCAATTTACATATTTTTGCACTAGTAGAAATTTAAATCATTGGGGATTTTTATTTTGTTGGGTTTTTTTTTTTTTTGCTAACTTCACTAAAAACTTAAGATTTTTTAAAGGACCTTTGCGATGGTTGCAATACATAAAAATATAAAGCTTGGCCTGGAATAAAAATTCTACTACTACTATTATTATGCTACAAATCCATGCACGTGCACATTTTGCTAATGCATAGTTTTTTTTTTTTTTTATATATATTTCTCCTCTGTTGACAGAAGCTAGAGAAAGCAAAGATATGACTGAAAAGAGTGATATCTATGGATTCGGCATCATTCTGATTGAATTATTGACGGGGAAAAGTTCTGGGGATGCTGAATTTGGAGTGCAATACCAGAGCATGGTGGAGTGGGCCCGTTATTGCTACTCAGATTGTCATCTTGATATGTGGGTTGATCCGATGATCAAGGGCTATGCATCCAACAACCAGAGCCAGATCGTTGAGACTATGAATCTAGCTCTTCATTGCACGGCAGGTGACCCCACTGCTCGCCCATGCGCAACCGACGTCTCCAAAACCCTACAATCAGCTCTCAGAATAAGTTCTGGTGTCCCAGCAGGCCTAAAATTTTCTTCACCTGTTTTGGCTTTCTAATATTATAGCATGATTTTGTTCAGAAATTTTATTTTTTGGGTTAATTTTCTTTTTCTTTTCCACCTTGGTTTCTAGTATAAGGTTTATAAATTAAGGTATTAAAATGGTTGTCACTCAAATGTTTTGTTTGATGGTATGTTGGATACATACTACTGAATGTAGAGATGTAGATAAACTAAACGCCATTATATGAATTACAGTTTTATTTTTCTATCAAGTATCTTTCAAGATCTTCTTTTCTTACCTAGCTCATCATTGCACTACTTTTATGGCTCATGATTATGACTCATGGCCTAAGTTGCTTGAAAACATCTAGTGAGCCACCCCGGTCAACAAAGGGTCGGGAAAAAGGTAGGGTGCCTTGCCTAGCATTTTTTCTTTTTCCTTCATATGAAAAATGATTTTGATATATGTTTAGCACAAGTGATACAGTTATTCAGATAGAAATCTGAAATTCGAGTCTTTGGTCATCCTAAACATATGTTCCAGCTCCTTGGTCGATTACTAGCAAGTAAGTGGATATCCCACAGGAAGACCGACTCTTTCAGTCAGCGGAGAAAGTGCTTGAAATCCCATTTTTTGGATGAAGGTGAAAATTATCTGCGACATCTTGCTTTCCCACCTACGAATGGCTGATATGCAGTACTGCACATTGTTTTCTTTAGTTATATATGCTGTTTTACAGCTTGTTTTTAAACAGGGAAATGACATATAAGGATTAGAATTCACATGGATTTGGACTAAACATCATGGCCTACTTCCTCCACTTTTCTTTTTGTCTTCCGTTACTCTTGCAAGAATTTTGTCCCTTTTCTTTTCACTTTTGTTTGCTTTGTAATGTTAGAATCAAACCCAAATCCTTCGCTCTGCCAACTAACTCTCACTTTTTTTTTTTTTCCTATAATCTGTTTTGTTTCCATCATGATGGACTCAAAATTTTCCACCTTACAATCTTACATTCTCTCTCATGTCAATGGGATGTGGCAGGGATTGGGTACAACAACCCAGCAAAACTATTATTTATTCATTTTCGCATTTGTAATTATCAAATTGTTGACCATACTTCAACCTCAGGTCCTCAAGTGGGGTTTTTGATTTCCTAGCAAGGACTTGTAAAGAATAAAGAACCTCTGCTCTTATCTAAAGGGCCACGAATTGTTAGTTGTTTCTGCCAACAAATAAAATTTGTTTACTCATGCTGACAGCAAAAGTCCAAAGTTAATTTTCAGAATTCACAAAGAAGTTAGATGAAGAAATGGCTTTTACAGTTTTGAATTTGGGGTATGGAAATCCTGAGAGGTAAAGAAATTTAAGTCATGAGCAAATGCTTTAGTTGAGAGATATAGGAGTATGTTTGACCCTTTTAGATCAGTTTGATTTCATCAGATAATGCTTTTGGCTTTGCAGGTGAAATTTGCTTTCAACGGCAGTGAAGTCTTGGCTCACGCCCAGCACCTATCTATTTTCCCTAGTACACTACTCAATTTGAGAAGAGACCTAGCAGGTGAAAGGTCCTGATCAGCCGCTTAGGTCAAAGAGCTAGAAAACAGGAACATTACTCATGCCGAAGGGGACCACTGTACTAAAATCCTGATGGCTTGATGATATTGTTTGTCCTATTGTCGGAACACTCTTTTGGAATGGAAAAAATATGGCCAACTGGTACTCTTTTACAATCACATATAGCTCTGCATGTAAAAAGCTATTTGAGGCATTGAGACAGGCAAGCTGCTAAAATTGCTGCCTTTTATTCTTTAACCTCGCGTTCCAAGAGTTCTACCTTTTTCCCTTCACACTTGACAGACAATGGTCAAAGTTTTTTTAATATTTCATTGCATAATGTAATCAAGATTTCATGTCTGCCTTATGATATTGATTACTAATTTCATTCAATTAGCTACAAACTTTATGATGAAATCACATGCATTGAATCATAAAGCAACAGGAGCTAATCCTAGGTTCCCTTTGATAAGAAATTAGAAGCCCTATTTGCAGAAATAAATTTCAAGTGTTTGAAACCTAACTAGAGCCCTGAAGAACAGTTTAACCAACTAATGTTTCATTAAACAAGAGAAAATCACAAAGGGCTGAAAGAGACACTAAAACTGCTTTGAACATGGTATATCAAGCAACATTAATTAAACTGTAGACATATTTAACTAAAAAATTTCAAATGGCCTCAAGTTAATATTTAGCACTTCGCAGACTCCACTAGGGGTCAAAAGAAGAAGGCTGATTCGATGGGGCTCTTTTCTTTCCAACCATGGCCTGGCCACAACCTTTCTTGTGAACAACTTTTGCCTTCAATGTGGTAATGATGATGTTGAAGGGTTTTCCTTTTGTTCTTTTCCACTTCCATTCTCTCCAAGCAATGATGGTATTGACAACAACCCTTTTTCTCTTTTGCTCAATCAGAACTCATGGGGAGATCAGAGTTCACATTGTTAGAAGATTCCATCACTAAAGATCAGTCTAAGCATAAAAATATAAAACTAGGCTGACATTTCAAGGAGCAAACCAGATCAGTTTTGCTGGCAGAGATATGATTTTTGAAATGTTATGTTATCTTAAAAGCCTCAAGATATCAATTATGCTTTCTTGGAGACCATGCAAAAGGCTCTTCGGCTACTTTCTTCTATTCTAAAAGCTCCTTTTTTTTTTCTTTAAAATTTTCTTTGATTCAATGGGGCAAAGGTGCTGATCATCTCTTTGAACGCTTCCCCCACCCCCCTTCTCTTTTCTGCTTCAAAAGTTTTCTTTTGCACATCACAAAACAAAGCATTTTTCATATTTGTTTCTATGCTCTAAGACAGCTGTTTCTTGTTTTCGAGTTTTAATGTGGAAACAATAATTGGATACACGTGCGTCCCATTGGATATCTCAACAACAACCCACTTAACACAATAATCAATGGGGTTTGATGTGGAGAAATGAAAAGTGGGATGATTGTGCTGTTTCAGTTTGACCAATCTATTAGTGTAAACTTTTTTTTTAAAACATTTGCTGACATTTTTTTTATTCCATGCTTAGCCAATAGCCAGGCCAGCATCCACGAAATTGAGCATTATTAAGAGGATGGAAGCTAAAATGAAAGCCAATGAGGGCTAAAATATACCGTATACAGAGTTCATGCAGATTCCAGCCTAAATTACCAAAATGTCAGTCATAGAATCCCTTAACATTGTTAAGTAATTATTATGCGTGAATGCAAATTTGAAATTTGTCGGTCATAATGTCAAAATTATTCATCAAAAAGTTATTAATGCGTTTTTAGTCTGTCTCAGAACTTTATTCCACAAGCCTTTGTTCCCCATAGATTAGAGGGCAGGGTCAACGATATCAAATCAGCCAACAGCCCCAGCTCCCTGCGACTTCTTAAAACAACTTTTTCCATTGATAATGTTCCCATTTATTGACTATAAACCAGTTGATGATTTCCCACAAATAAAAGGTTTTGCTTCTTTAGGATTAGCGTTTATTCGCTTACAAACTTTAGTTTGGGAACTTAGAGGGTATAAATAAACTATTATTGATGTTTCTTTTCTTCATGATGAAATATTAAGCATAAAAAAGATATGGTTATCTACTTATTTTTGGTTTATATTGGATTTTTAATTTCTGCACCAAGACAGAAGGTACTTCAGGGGCCATGTGGGGGCAAACAGTCAAATCCGGGGCCACAAAACTACATATTTTAGAAGGGGTTGGTCCCCAACTTCGCATAGGTCTAAAACACATTTCTTGCATTGAAGTATTCATGTTATTGTTAACCAATTATTGAAGTTATAACATAAAACAAGTGCTACATGGTGTAATTTGCAAGAAATGACATTGGGTTTCTTTTCTGATATCAAGAAATGCTCTTTGATTGATTTGGTGGAGTAGGTAAGAGAGGTACTTCATAGATATAAGCTCTAAATTTCTTCAAGAATGGAATAATCTTGAAATCATTAGCGGATGAAGGTCACGATAGATAATTGACAACTCGCAATTTTATCAACAGTTTATAAAGATTGACATTGACTCAAGATGTGAAGGAAATTTAGACCAATGATTCAAATATAAAGGGAATAATATACAGATGATAGGACTGCATATCAGTTTTCCGTCTTTAAATAGGCTAATTCTTTGTGGAAAAGATCAAGGAATGTGAATAGATCAATAAACATGGCAAAATTCTTAATGGTCATATGTACTTGACCACTATAGGTCAGCTTATGGAAACCAAGTCTGAGGATTGGAAGAATATGGAACATTTGATAATCATATTAATTTTTTAGTGGAAGTCTTTAGCAAAGCACTTTATGCATTGGGATGATCACATTTTCTTGTCCTCCAATTGTACAACATAGTGCTCCTCCACATTAGGGAAAAGGAAAGGAAAAAGAATAAAGGGTCACGCTCAGAATTGAATCTGAAGCAAAGAATCAATGAAGTTGGACAGCTTCATCATGGTGAGGTTGATAATTCCTTATCTCATTACAAATTTCAAGAAGCTTTGACTGATGTATTTACCATTTAAGGTATATAAAAAAAAAGGGTGAGTAATATCATGGGATCTATATCTAGATTCAATGTTAGATGCTCAACTTGTTCTTTTGAAAAGCATTTTCACAGGGAAAATAACATGTATGTCAATACTTGCATTTTCCTAATATCAGGTGATGAAACTCCCACGATCATTTAAGAGGTTATTGGGTCTTCATCATTAGATTCCTAATAGGGATCCACCATCCATGTGCTTAGTATTACACTAATTCCACCATTGGCACCTGTTGGCCTCTTCCTCCAATTGAAGTTATCCTTGGCACCTACATATCAAGAATCACTTGAACAGAAAATTTTCTTGGTTCAGTAAAAAAAAGAAAAAGAAAAAAGAAGGGAACAAACATAATCGTAATGGATAAATGTAAATGACATGTCTAAGTGAACAAGAAGAATCATAGGCGTTAGGTTTGACTGCTAGGTCTTTTTGCTTACAAGAGTGGTAGTGTCATAGGCTCGTCTGCAACAGTTCAATAGGTGTAGCAACCGGAAGAAAAAGAACTGAGGCATTTTTGACCGAGGGGGTCAATATCAATTGCTAGGAATCCGCAGTCATTCAACCATGAGCAGGGTGGAGAAAGCAAGCCATCCAATAAACAAGGGCAAATGAGATAGGGAGTAATATTCTCATCAGCATACACAAACAGTGATGTGACATCTTAAGATTAAAAAGAGCCAAGGGAACTACATGATTAACTTTTAAAAACAAAGAAAGAAAGAAACATGGGAAAGAGAAAAAAAAACATAAAATGGAGCAACGATTGTGATCAATCAATTAAGCATGAAGACAATACAAAGAATGGGGTAACCAAAATCGAGGCCCCGGATAACATTTGGTTCAACATCCTTATAACAGTATATATCACTCAAAGGTTTCTCCAAACTAAAAAGACTAAAAAATATGAAAAGGGAGCTTCTTCTAATCTAGATTATCTATATCCTATCTCCTCTTCTTATTTTCATACAAAAGACCAGTTGATGAACATGAAGCAGATACAGTGAGCATTTTCTTCTTCATTTACCACTTTCCAAGCAACTGCTCTCTCATAGGATACTGGCCTTCCCATACTTGACAAGCAAATGCCACTTTGAAGGCACATAAAACCCTGCTCCACCAAAACAGATAGAAAAGAATAATCAACCATATATCTCAAAAAAAAAAAAAAAAGAGTTGTTTAGGTAAAATTTTTGAGTACGTGTCGTGACAACTCTCGTCATCCAAATCATCAAATCTAGCACAAGCTGACAGTTAAGATAAGATAATTTGCAGGAAACTATAACGC